AAGAATGTGCTATCTTTTTTATTGCAAACTTTGAAATTACAGCCAAAATTTGCATGCTTTCAGTCCCTAAGGTAAATTCACTTCGGGAATATTAGGCGTGACGTAGCGGCCACCGTTTCGCGCCGATGATAAACGAGCACATGTATACACAACACAAATTGCAACATTATTGGGGTTGCTACGAATTTGATATTAATATTCGCGAAACTAACTGTAAATGCACCCGATTTGTATCCTGCGGCCGCAGTTCATCGGAGAACGGCGATGTCAAGAAATTAATTGAGTTTGAGTTACTTTTTACAAAAGATTGATAGTTTTTATAGATAATATCATATACAATGAATTTCATTTTTAAGCCTGGAGTTTTATAACTTTTAATGCTTCATTTTTTAAGGAAATAGACAACTATAAATTTTGTAATTGTTTTATGTCATTAACAACTAATGAAACTCTGTTAATCCGCCATGCCATTATGCAAATCTTCTTTTACCAAAATCTGCATTTAATGCCTTAGCAACTTCCATAGAGTCCCATATATGATCTCGATACTGTTTTATTCATTACAATCGGTAAACAATAATTAACGGTCGTCAAACACATCAATGAGATTTGGTTGAAACCTAACAGTACAGTTAATTTTGCTCTCTATAAACGACTCCTTAGTCCGTATGACGCGATTGAACTTCTATGCAAATTTTGTATGATATGTTTTTTAAAATATCGATTTTGAAAATTTTTCATGTGTTGTTGAAATGCTGTTGATTTTTATTGATGAACAAAAAAATATATAATTTCGAGTTTTAGTTGCGACAGTTATTGTACAGGGGTTTCCACTTAACCCATTCATTAAAAGTTTATCGAGATGTAATTTAGAAACGCCTTTAAATTTATGGGCTTAAGCACCAAGTGTACTTCTTTTTAAAAAAAATCGATGTCCTATCACTTTCGGTTTAACCGAAAGTTGCCATCAACTTGCTTGTTACTTTCGAAAATCGATGAAATGGAATTTTCGAAAATATCTGCGCTCGTATAAAAATTTTATATCTCGGTAACGGTAGGTCCTATGGGATCGCCGTTGGTACAGAAATGATCACCGTCGAAAAAAAAATTTTTTTTGTTTGTCCGTTCTTCGTTCTCGTCTTTTGTTTTTTCCTGAATACGTTTCGAACCGTTGGAGCTACAAAAGTGAAGTTTGGCTCCTTTTTAATCCTCGACGAGGCACATAAGCTTGTAAGAGATGGCCCCGATCCGACGTCGGTATCCATTTTTTTTCGCGATTTTCGACTGTTTTTTGGACCTTGCTATGAAAGATAATAAGTGTCCGACATTTGAAGCAATCAACTGCATATTTGCTACATATATGCAGCTTTGCCCCGTGACGGAACCTGTTGAAAATGGAAGGGCTGGGGGGTCGGGAAATATTCTAAAAAAATAAAAAATCGCGCGTGTAAGGGTCTACAAAAAACATCATTTTTCAAAAACTGTTTACTAGACCACAAAAATTCTTGAGCCAGAAGAATCAGAAACCTATAAACCTTTATTCGTGACAATTTTTCAAAAATATACAGGGTGCGCCGCAAATTCAAAAAAAACTTAAAAATGGGTCCCCCCAATGTTTCCCTTTACCACTCGAAACCGCGAAGGTCTTTTATTTTATAATAAAAAGCTGCTTCGCGCTACGCGCTACGAACTTGCCCTGGCCAGTGACGATTTTTCGAAAGCAATCTTGTTTCAAATGGAATATCCTACAGATTATTACATTTTGAAATTTTATGTAAGTAATTTTGAACATGCATATTTTTGTAATTTCTGAAAATATGCTCGTCATATTTGACAAAATGTCAAAAAATAGGCTTAAATTCACAGTTTTGTTATTGTTGTTGTCTAATTTAATACAGGTCCAAATTAGGCCGTAAACATTCACACTTTTTAAGTCTCTAAGCTCGTTTTTTTCAAATGGGACACCCTGTAACTTTAAGTGCTGTCAAGTCCAGGACTTATTTCTCTATTGATATGTTTTAGGGTTACCTATACCTATTCCAAACCATATTCGAAATAATTAGATTTCATGATAGGATTGTATTGGTTCAGCTGAACATTTTCCCTTCACGTACTTGGAAAAACAATGTTTGCTGATCATTTTAGACATCTTGCATTAAAGTAGACAACAAAAATGTCAGCTTCCGTCAGCTTTAACATTTTACCAAATATGAGGATAAAATTTTCAAAAACTGCATGCATTTTCAAAATGGATTTAACTGAACGCCCGAATTTTTTTTCAAGGGCAAATATTTCAAGTTAGACATAGGTATAGGACGTTATACATACATACAAAAATCGATCAAAATCATACGCAAAAATAATAATCTGAAAGTCTATCTTTTAACGGCAATGTAAAATAAGCTGAAGATAAACGATGCTCAGAACAGAAACAGAAATTACAGTAAAATTGAAGAAATTTCACTCACAGGTCGTATAAGTACATCTAATTATATTAGTTAACATTCCAATGGAAAAATGTTTATATCTAACTAAATTTCTTTTACACTTGCATGACGTTCTTTTATTATACGTTGTGTTTCCGAATACCCTCTCATGTCGTTTTTAAATTGATCTCAATGAGCTTGTCGTGAATGCTCTTTCACAGACTTCGTACTATGCCCTTTCCCAGAAAATTTTTGCTTTTCTCCCTATTGAAACAATCGTTCAATATAGTTTTTTTTAATTACAGGTAAATGAAGCAATAATAATGCACTTTTAAATGTCTGAAAATAATGTCAGGCATTGGTATTCAGAACTTGAAAGTGCCGCATCACTCGTAAAATAATTTTCTCTGGTATAGTACTTTCTCACATAAATGGTTTTGATTTTTCTTAATTTCCTAAAATTCTTAAATTCTATTTTTAATTCAAGTTTGAGTTAACAAGTGTTTATCGATAGAGCTAAATTATGAATAATTTATCATTTCTGGTACAAAACCATATCGTGGATTTTGTCAATTATTTTTGAGGTAGACACTTACAGATTTCGTGCGGATCTTCATTCATCTTTTGTGGATGTACCACTAGGTTTAAACTCATTCACCATAACTCAGCTTTCATTGCTTTCGCCGTAAATCTCTTCAAATAGAAATATTTAATCACTGCTTCAAACTTATTTTTTATACTTTTTCATAGAGCAAGAATTTATTTTCCAAACTAGGATCGCCATCTCCTGCATTTTCTAAGGACTTATTGCACTTACCCGACTCATATACGCTAAACCGCTGTGGAATTATGGTGTACACTATGAAGGAATTCCAGTGGATTTCCAAAGAACTTAAGCATCAAAATGCATTTTGTGTTTCGAGATGTTTTTATTACCAATGGGGAAAGATAAGCCACTGATTTCTTTAGAAATAAAAAATATTTTCGAACACCTCATTCAATTTTTGTGACTACTCTATGCTATTATGCACAGAGCAAGCGTGCAAAGTGTGTTATTTGAGGATGTCCTCTTCGACCAATAAGTGAGGCCGACTTTTGCTGTAGGTTTGTGAAAAATCGTAAAATGCTCATTGTTTTGATTAATTCTTCGATTGCTTTAATGTGATTTGTCTGTATATTTAATTAATACGATTAAATATTTTTTATTGTATGAAGATCTGATATTTGTTAAAATTCTTAGAAATTCCAAAGAATGCATGTCTAAACACTGTATGTTATGGATATAGACATGTATTATTTGGCTCATTTCAAATACCACAAAGAACTTTACAATCCAATAGTCTCATTCAAATGACGCTTTTAAATTTAACCTTTTATAAAAATGATATAAAAAAAAATATTTTCATCATTCTCAAGAATCAAGAAATATTCGCAATATTTATACAAGCCATAAAATAAAATTTTTACGAAACACTATAAACTAATCAATTAAAAATGGTACGCAACATGGCGCTTGTTAGTGATATACAGTGTGTTAAGGTTCAGTTTTCGAAAATTTTAATTGTCTATGGTCCGTGCGAATTCGGGGGTTACTTTTTATATTGATAATAATGGTGCAATGATTATGTCTAAGCAAAAAACTATATTTCTTTCTAAAAACTAACTAAAAAAAGTTCATTGAGAATAAGTAGGCCATGGATTAGTAGTGAACGCATACACATTGACATTGTCATCGACTAATCTAAATAAAAGATCTTTGACCTTTATTTTAAAACGGAATAAAAAATAACTGCGATAGGCAGAATGAATGATGAGAATCCCCAAATTAATTTGTGAAAATACGCTTTGGATTGCTATTTAGCTCATTTATTACGGACTAACCTGTATAGTGATATATGAATTTTACTGTCCATACGGTTTTTTGTAATTGTACTAATTATTTTTGTTTATTTATGTATTGTGTTTAATGATTACTACCATTTTTTTTTCTACTCTCGTCTGTAAAATACCTAATTACCCGCCGATCTAGCATGCGGGAAGCGTCGCTTTACCACGTCAATTTCCTTTCCCACGAATCTGAGCCACTCCGGACATTTCCGGGATTTTACCGCACTGGTTTGAAAGCAATCGGATGTTTTCGGAGACATTTCCCACGCTTTGATTTTTGACTTTTGTCAATTCTGACAGTCACGTCAATGAATGTATTCGTATTTTGCGATAATGTAGCCAAAAACTAACGGTCGTAGAAAAAGTATAGTATGCAACACGTTCGGTAAACTTATTAACTCACTCGTTTATTAAACACTCGCTCTGCCCGTGTCAAATAAACTCGTGAGTTAAATGCCGTTTACCACCCTTGTTGCATAATATACTAATTCCTTATAACTTCAATATATTAATTAGTGCGTTTAAATACCTAAAATAGAAAGGAATGCTTGAAACTATAATACGTTATGCTAATTTAAAAAACTCTGCGTCAGTATTATATTTATATATATGACAAAATAGTCGAAAATTTTTCTTAATGATTTTCAAATACAGAGGCTTTTAATTTTTTTTTTTTTTGGTTCTCAGTACAGGGGTATCGTCGTTAAAGGCATTCGGTTATTTCCAAGTACCGTTGGCAAACGGAAGCGCCGATATCGAGATTATTTATGTAGTTTTAGAAGATATGTTTTTGAAAGCGGTAGGACGATTTGAAAACAGCGAATACGGGAGTCAGTCCAGCGTATTGGGATATTACAAAAATCCGAAGAAAACTTTCCAGTATCTCGACGCCGGAGGAGATATTAAGTTTGACAGATTGTGGGGGTGCGTGTGATATCCCGTTACTTTTCTACCGAATTTACTATTTTTGTCCCTTTAGGACCTCGGCGAATGTGTCGTTTTACCTGCCGCAAAAAAACAACGTTAGCTTGGAAGCGCATTTGCAAATTCCAAACGATTTCGAAGAAACGCACAGTTTGTTCGGCAAACTGAATTACGGTAGCGGTTTGAAGTTCATCGATTATCTGGTTAAATACAGAAGCACGTATCCAGTCAGAAAGTACGGCACTTGGGCTAAGGTAAAACGATAAAATGGCGGAAGGGAAGAAAAAACTTTTAATCAGGGAAGAATTTCTTTTCGTCTTAGATTTGTTTAGGGGACAAACGCAACGTATCTGGGAATGCCGTAATTGAATGGGACGGGAAGGAATTCGAAAACGATGCGAATTTAATGAAACAAAACAAATCGATGGAACTCATTTACAAATTGAAGACGCCGAAATTCGCCGATAAACATCTTGTTGTGACGAAGTTACGTTATGACTTAAAAGGCGACCACCACAACATAACGTGAGTAAACATAAGGTGAGGGTTTTGCCCTCGGTTTCGTATTAATGGAATTGGGGTGTCTTAATGTTTGAAATTAGAAAACTGTAGTGTATATATATGGTATATATCTCGCCAGCACTTCAATATTCAATTTACCTTTTTTTATCGATATGTCGACGACATCATAACTGCAGCTCCAAAAAGAAAAACAGACTTTTTACTAAACTCCTTCAATAAATTCCACAAAAAATTACAATTCACGATTGAGAACCAAAATACTATTAATTTCTTAGAAAAAAGAACAAGTTGGAATGCTAAGAAGACGAAATCATCACGTTATCTAAATTTTAATTATAACCATCCCCTAGCTCAAAAAATCCGTCATAATAGGTCTCGCAGACAAAGCAATAATGTTATCCGATCCAGAATATAGACCAGACGCAATTGAACAAGCAAAACATGCGCTTCTGAAAAACATTATCCCAAAAACTTAATTAATAATATTTTTAGTTAACGTTACAACAAATTTTATAATAACGTAAACATAAGCCAATACCAGAACCTCAAAGCAAATATATATATCGATGCCATATGTGCCTAGGTTGTCAAATTTACAAAAAACATATCTCTACACTAAACTCAAAACAAAAATTCTAGTTGAAAAGAGAAATAATATAGTATATAAAATTCCCTGCTCTAATTGCGACAGTGTGTATATACAACAAACAAGCCAGTATTGAAAAAATAAAACCAACGGACATAAGTATGACAAAAAAATAAAAGAGCTTGTGACAACATACATTTAATGTTCAAGAAGTTCAAATCCTACTACCAGAACCCAACACCAAAAAAATAGAACTATGAAAGTACAGAAATCCAAAAAAACAAAAAATCAATTAAAATACCGATTCGAAAGGACTTAACAAAATATATCGTTTAATTTTAAACTAATATTAATAAATAACTTCGATCTTTTTCAAAATATTCTAATTCTGTATAAGTCACATTACTAAAAATTAATAAATAGATAATATTTTTGATAAATAAATAATAATAATTTTTTTAATATATTTTTTACCTATTGATTATGTCAATTAAAATATATTGCATAATTTAATTTATTTTATTATTACTATATAATATACTATTATTATCCTATATATTTTGCTTGATATAACCAATAGGTAAATAAAAAATATTTAAAAAAATATTATTATTTATTGATTAAAAATATTCTTTATTTGTTAATTTTTATAAATGTGAAGGGAAAAACAACTACAGTCCTTTTTAAATTATATTAACTCTATATATAACCTTATAGAATCTACCATAGAGACGGAACTACATAACTCTTTAAACTTTCTGGACTAAATTTGAGAACAAATTGGACTTTTTCATTGACCATAATCCCTAACACCACACGGAAACAGTAATACATAAAAACTCAAATGGCACTTAGACACACAACATGGCTGCCTTTTGGAACAAAAAGTGTACAATTTTTTACACTTATTTATCTGTTTGTGATAGATGTTTCGTCAACACCGTGCCTTTGTCAAATACAAAATATTACAATACTCCGACGTCTATCTTTATGGTAGGGTTATAAATTTAAATTTAACAAAAAAGAAATCCAATTGGTGGTTAAATAATAGATTCATTTTCATTAGTCTAAATAGCATCCAACAAGTTTAATTTTTTGCTTTCTGTGCATTTCTGAATTTAAATGAATTTCACAGTTAGAATCGGAACTTTTATTTTTATACGTTCTTTTGTTTTCTTTTCTTAAATACTCTACCTGTTTGTCCAATATAAATTTTTGGACGTGATCCGGACTTAACTGGATCCAGATCTATGAGTTTTTTGTGATTTACTTTGATTGTTTTTTGAAAAATTTCTTGCGGTATTTTCAGTTTTAAATGCAATTTTGAAACCATTTTGAAACTTTTTTAGTTACAATCTTATCTATCAAACCATTGTTAAATTGTTTAATTCTTATTCACAAATTTCTGTGGAATGTGGTACATTAAGTAGTCTGTGGATAAAAGAATAAAACGCACCCATTTTGAGTATGTGAAGGTGATTTGAGTTAATACGCATTACTGTGTCCATGCGTGAGGGTTTGTGGTAAATGGAAAAGATCTAATTTGTTCTGCAATTTTGTTCAGAAACTTAAAAAAATTATCTTGTTCCGACTCTATGGTAAATTTTATACTAAATATAGTTGTCTTTTCGTTCTAATGAAACAAGCAAAACATATCTAGGCAACCAATCAACAACCAAAGAAAACTTTTACTCATAGTATGATATTTTCTAAATTGTTCATGAAATTTCTGCAAATAGCGGACTAAGTGGGATTCCCATAGCTAATTCTTCATTAAATTCAAAATCATTTTGGACTTAACCCGACTATTAAACTATTTAATATATCCTGTTTTATGATAGGGTCAACTTGCCTCTGAGTAAGGATATTCCTATTATGTTATTACGTCTATCGGTGAATTGCGTTAGGATGTATTTTAGTGCCTTTAACATTATTGACTAGTTCGAACGAATTTTTTATAATATATCTAGTTTTAAAGATAGATATGACATTCCAAAATTTTTGTTAATCTTGTTTAAAGTTTAACTGATGGTGATATTACAAAAGAAACTGAAGACCTAATGGGCATATTGGAGGTTTGGATTTCATAATTATTAGCTGGTATTTTTCTTTGTCGTTAAAAAGTGATGAATCTGTAATTACAGTGTTGATTTGTTTTTAATATAACTCGGTGGTATAGGTGTGGTTTAAGGAACTGTTTAGTCTTTGTAATATATCCTATAGAATCGACCATAGCCTTATTTTTAATTGATTTTAAAATAAACATCCAGCTCATACGTGTGTTAACAACCCCTAAACACTTGAACTTCTTATTGAGTTTGATTAATTTAAATTAAAGTTGAAACTATTGTCTCTAACAATTTGGACCCTTTCTCAGAAAAGTTTGAATTGAAATCGATTTAGCACAACAGCTGTCTTGAATTAATAGTGAAAATCAGAACATATTCAATTATAATTCAATTTTTCTGCGTGGACAATCACTATTAGATATTGCTGTTTAATTCACTCTTTATTTTTCGCGATTTTGACACGATTTTGTGCGTCCAAAATTAGCTATTCGCTATCTTGAGAACCCTTTAAAATACACATTTCTAATTGCGGTATTATTAGACTTCCCTTTGTGAGAAATTAATATTTGAATATTTCCACATCTCGGAGGTCCGCTTGTATATCATTTTCATTGGCTTGCGCACAAAAATTGCTTAGCAAATTCATTTAAAAATCCGCTATTTGATTGATATGATAATTTTTTTGCGCCTTTTTCGCCGTAAACAGAAAATATACAGTGGCGGAAGGGGGGGGGGTCGAAATGTGAATGTAAGATACAGGTAGAGACTAATAATGCCACATCATCAGAGTGCCTTGTTTCGTAGATCTTTCACATTCAACGCAATTCGTGTTTATAATCTTTGTCACAGAAACCCAGTAACTTAAATTTATATTCATTTAAAAAAAGGTACAAAGATCATTTGTTACAAATACAGTTTTCCTAATAATGTGTTACTAATTATGTTATTAGCAAGGGATTATAATGAGTTATCAAATTCTTTATCTTCAATTGCATTTTCTGTAATTTGTAGTGGAGTTATGTTGTTCTTCCGATTTCGCAGGTATTTTTCATATTTTATTTGTTCATTTCAATAATTAGTGCGTAATTGCGAAACTAAACAAATCTAACCAGAACTAGCCACAACTAACCAAAATTGACCAAAACCAACCAGAACTAACCGGTCTAACCAGGACTAACCAAAACTAGCAAATAAAAAAACAATATAATTTTAGCCTCAATTTGTTTTAACTGGAAATACCTCTACCTATGTAATAGATTATTTAGTTCTTATAATTACTTTTTTTCTTTAATATTTAAATGTTAAAATTCTAACTTTTCATGGATAAGAATTGCTCTTTGAATGAATGAGTATTGAATTGGATTGAATATTTCTTATATTTAATTGAGTATGAATCAAACGAACTTAAATTGCCGCCATTTTAAATTCTAATAGAAACCGTGCGTAGTAAATTATCGGTAAAAATAGGTCTGTGGTGTGATCAATTCGAGCGTAACAAAATCCCCAAACGTCGCGTATATATTCCGTCGTACTAATGAATAAAACATAACATAGGGAAACGTAGTGTCTTTTGTTAAAAAAAAAGAGAGACGAAATATGTTTAAGCTGCTTTAGTTTTCCAAGAGGATTGCATTTTTATACTTTCAGATTTAAAACGTTCTATCCCGAAGGCCGATCGGTTGCCTATGGAACTATAGATTATGTCGAAATAGCAAACATGCACGGAACATTCAACGTAACTATTCCCTATAAGGCCCTCAATTTTACCGGAGTACACTTTAAAACGGATACCGATGAGTGAGTAATCCTAGGCTGTAGTTTGTCCTGGTTTGTTTCGATTCAGCAATGTTTGATGCGTATCTCCAGCTCCAGTTTTATTTTCTACTTCACTGCTGGCTAATAAAATTATAAGATGTTTTTTCGTTCTCAATCAAAAAATGCGCATTATTATCCATCAACGTAAACAAATATCGAATAATTTTTAAGCCAGATCGATAGGGTGCTTTCAAAATATTGCGATCGATCGAAACAAAAAGCGATGATTGATTGCGGTGTCGGAAGTGGAAAAAGGGATATTTTACTTTCAGCTACGTCTACAATCGATACGTTAAAGTATTTTGGGACAATGATAATGCACTTTTGGATAGCAAGTGTGACATTAAAACCGGAAACCTTATTACAGAACGGAACTATAAAGGGAGATTAATTGTTGAATTACCATTAACCACCAGGCATTTCGGGAATATTAACTACGAATATGACGTAAGTATTTGGAAAATTGCAAGTGCGAAATTAAGTTGGGTCAAGACAAATATACAAGGTGGCACGTAATACAATAAGCTTGGTAAAATACTCATGCTCTTACTGGAGAAATCGATATGGTTAGGAAGAGGTTTTTTGCATATAAGGAATATGATTAACATAATATTTCTTCATGTTATCTGTGTGAAAGTTTATTACTGATTCGCATACGAGCCCTATTTTATATTGATGGTAAACTGCTTGGTCACTGCGTAGAGTAAAGTATTAAAAATTCATAAGGTTCGATCGCAGTTTATCTAAAAGGTCTGTACAAAAGTTAGCCCATACTTCTGACGACAAAATAACTCGAGCGGAAGATAAAGTGGCTATGTTAAAAACCAAAAATAGATATTTTTTAAATTGCGGGTATATTTTGGTAATACTTTAAAATTTGATAACCGACATCGTTTTGAGAAAAATAATCGAATTTAATTGTTTAACTCTAATTTCCCTCTACACCAAGAAATTTCGATCCTATGTCCAGAATCCCGTAACATTAGGAATATGCACCATAATTCAGGCTGACCAACCGAACAGAATTGGCCGGGACAGGTTCAGGTTTTTCCGACAATGTTCTGTTCAATAGAGTTATATTTTATCTCCCAGAAAATTTATAAACATTGGCAATGCCGCAATTCCACATCACTCAGAAATTTAACCCGCATTAAAAACTATTTTATTGTAAAATGAAACATTAATGTATGAAGATGAACTGTTTGACGAAAGATCTTTAATAAACGATTTTGTGACCAATGAAAAGTTGGAATATTGGCAAATTAATGATATCAATGTTTGCGTTCAATGGCGTGAAGTTTTTGATAATTGTACAAAAAAGCAACCAGAGTTTAAGAACATATCTTTGATAGTTCAGTTTGCACTCTGCAGATGAAGAAAGAGTGTTTTCAATTATAAACAACTTTTGGAGTAACGAAAAAAGTCAACTTCATGTGTTTACAAGGTGCAACGGGAATTTAAGTTCCTTTTTTGTATAATACAGACTTTTTACAGATTTCCAATCCTAAATTTTAATAAAATGAAATAATTTACAATTAAAGAATTAAATTTGTCTGCTACTTTTTCATATATGTTACCGCTAATATGCGACAACCATTAGTATGCATAATAACAAAGTTTTAGCATTAGTGATAATTAAATTGTAGTAAAATAGAATTTTAGAATTTTTAGAATTTAGAATATTACCAGTTTATCTTGAAAACAGTCCAACTAATTATAAAATAATTGTTAAAAAAAAATGTTTAAAGAATACTTAGAAAGGTCTTACTACCGATTGTTATGAGGATAATCCTGGTGTTCAACCTTAGTATCCTTAACAGCTTTTTTATTTGGTTAATTTTATAACATATTTGGTTCTGGTACTATCTGGTTAAGATTAATGTTCTAGTTGCTATCATAACGATTTTAATAAAAATCTGGTGTACATTAAATTAATTTTGTAACTACTTTTTGAAAACATTTTTCATTCCTTCGAATTATCAAGCGACCAATATTATTTGAAATTAATTGTAATTTTTTCAGCAAATTTTTATTGCAATGACTTTTTTGTTATACACAAATTGAAGTACAATAAATTTAGGATAACTAATACTTCTTTGTCACAACGGCGGACGTTTATGCTATAGTACTATATATTTTACTATTATTATACTATACTTTACCCCATAAAAAACATTGCCATTTTATCTTAAAAATAGTGCTATTAATTATAAAATAATAGTTCAAAAGTAAGACAAATGTGTTTAGAATACTAAAATATATCCGCTATTTACTATCGATTTTTATGAGGAGTTGTCGCCCGACAAGTTTGGTGTTCAGGCTTAGTATTCTTCAGAAAATTTTTATTTGGTTAATTTTCTGATGTTATCTGGTTAAGATTGATGATCTATACTATTATTATACTAAACTATACTGGATAAAAAACATTGCCCTTTTACCTTGAGAGCAGTGCTACTAATTATAAAATAATGGTACAAAGGAAAAATATCAGGTAGAATACTCACAAAAAAATCCTCTATTTACTACCAATTTTTGTGGGAAGTTGTCTCTCGATAAGCTTGGTGTTTAGCCTTAGTATCCTGCAGAAATTTTTTATTTGGTTAATTTTATAACACATTTTGTTTCTGATGTTATCTGATTAAGATTGATGTTATATACTATTATTATACTAAACAAGTCTTTTAACTGGCCTCAGAATGTCTAATAAAGACTTGGGGCTTGAACTAAGGTGCTTTTACTTGATGAAAATCCATTTAACAAAATAAATAGGTCAGATTTTCACGAAATTATATATTTTCACATGACAATTGTTTCGAGAACACCGGGTTTTATCAAATGTAATATTTACAAACTACCTGCTACTATATATACCGAAAAATCACCATAAAACCTTAATTAATGTTGTTTCGAGAATTTAAGTTCAATAAAGGAAAGGTATTTAAATATAATTGATCGTTAAGCAATACATTTGAATGTCTCATATTGTTAATCTCCATGGCTTCCAATAAATTTAATTTTCTACTTTTTGTGGCTGTGTTTTTCTGTGTTTAAGTGTGTAGCATAATTAGAATCTAAACTATTGTTTTTAAACGCTCTTTTATGTTCATTAATGCGTTTCTTGAAGGATCTACCTGTTTGTCCAATATAAGACACCTGATTTTTGGGATTTTGGACATTTCGATTTATTGTTTTTTAAATATTTTCCTATTGTGTTGTTAGTTCCGACAGCTGCTTTTAAACCACATTTTAATAAATGACAAATAATTTGGAAAATATCATACTAGAACATCCTTTAAGTAAAAGTTTTTTATGGTTGTATAGATAGATATGTGGACGATGTTTTTACTTGCATTGTTGGAACGGACAGACAATTGAATTCTTTTTTAAATTACATTAACTCAATACATAATCGTATAAAATTCAATATCGAGATTGAACAGGACAACTCTATTAATTTTTTAGCCTTAACCATTACGAAAGCGCAAAACAAATGAGATTTTTCAATTTATCATAAACCTTCACACACGGACACAGTCATACATAACAGCTCAAATCACCCTTATACACACAAAATGGCTGCATTTAACTCTTTTATACACGAACTTCTTAATACGCCACTCTCAACAGAAAATTACAACAAAGAACTTAATATCATTAAATAAATAGCACTGAACAACGGCTACAATCCGTCCATTATAGATAAAATTATAAATAAAAAACAAATCCAGACAACAGTAAACTCTATTTATCCGAAACCAAATACAGAATACGAACAATTTAAAACAATTACATACATAGGAGAACCTAGTGAAAAAGTTTCAAAACATTTATCAAAATGTGGTTTAAAAACAGCTTTCAGAACAAACAACACAATAGGAAAATATTTAAAAAAACAATAAATCGAAATGTTCAAAATCCCAAAAATCAGGTATCTACAGGTTGAAATGTGGATCTTGTTCCAAAATTTATATTGGACAAACAGGTAGATCCTTCAAGAAACGCATTAACGAACATATAAGAGCGTTTAAAAACAATAGTCTAGATTCTAATTATGCTACACACTTAGACACAGAAAAACACATTTTTGACGACAATTTTGATATATTACACTCAGCCACAAAAAGTAGAAAATTAAATTTATTGGAAGCCATGGAGATTAACAAAATGAGACATTCAAATGTATTGCTTAACGAGCAATTAGATTTAAATACTTCTCCTTTAGTGAACTCAAATTCTCGCAACAACATTAATTAAGGTTTCATGGTCATTTTTCGGTATATATAGTAGCAGGGAGTTTGTAAATATTACATTTGATAAAGACACGGTGTTGTCAAAACAATTGTCATGTCATAATATATAATTTCGTGAAAACCTGAACTCTTAATTCTTATTTATTTATTTATTTTTTTAATACTTGGACTACTTAGTCATAATATACTATAATGAACTTTCGCATTTTCTGTACTCTCATTATTAGTTATTACTTCCCTGTATTATTGTATCAATGTTTTGTTAGTTTGGATGTATATTCTATTGCTAATTAAGTTTAAACGAGCTACCTATAGATTTTCTTCTTAGTTTATTTATTCTACCCATTTGCCTTTGAACCGTCGTAATATAGCGATGGTCGGCCAATAAGAAAGGTGGCCAATTTTTGCAATTTTCCGAGAAGAAAGATTATTCCACCCCGAAGCGCGGACACAAAAAGCGGGAAATTCTTTTGCGGTCGCAAAAAAAGCACAAATGTTAATGAATGACTTTTTCAGAAAAAAGCCGAGCTAAGCACGGGAGAGGCCACGGTTGATTATAACGGCGAGAACGTCCTAGAAGGCAAGTATAATTGCCTGTCTAAATCACGGGCGGGACTTCATTCCGATACGATCCATGTGGAGTTACTGAACAAGATGGTCCCCATCGGGGCCGACTATGTTCGTCGACACGAAAACGTAACACTCCGTGATGGCAACAGCGCGCCAACTGTGGTAGGTTGCAACGAAAATAAATCAGCTGCTCCCATAAAATCCTTCGTAATCTATTGCTTTACTTGCATTACCTCTCTGTCGATTCTTCGGCCGTTTCGGCTATTCGCGTTATTAAACTTTTTTTTGTTTTCGATTATTCGGGTATTCCCCAGGCGTTAACCCCGGGCCCCCTCAGTTCGCCTCGTTTTTTAATTATGCCCTCGGCGATAAATTTTGTTTTTTTTTATTCTGTTTTTTTTTTTCGTCGGTTTGTGCGTGCGGCGTTTGTGTTTTGAGGATTTTCGCTCACGCCTTTTCTAAATTTATGTTTCAGTTTTTTTTGTTTATTTTTTTTAAAGAATTTTCGGTAACAGCGTCGCTGGTTTTCATTTAAATTAGTAGCTTTTTTTTAACCTACTTTGGCGACGTTATTTTTAATTATTTAGATTTCCAGAGTTAAAAAAAACTTGTGTTGGGTTTTGAACTCAAAAACGGTAGAATCATTTTTTTATGTGAACACTAAAACCCGTTTTTATCTTTTTGTCCATGTTCAAATAGGCCATTTCCAGTTTTTGGTTTCTCTTTCAAATTTTCAAAATGTTTGTGATGTACTGTACAGTAAAGGGTGGTAGTGTTTTAACAGGAAACCTTTAGTTCTGAACTAGATAGAGTAAAATGAACTTACATACCAAAAGTTAGATTTTTAAGAAACCGAGATATAAGATATAAGATATTTTTCAAGTTGAAGATTTTGAAAATTGCGCGTCACTTTTTTATTTCCGAAAGATTTTGGATTAGGATAACAAGATTATTTTCTACGTTTCTCTTTTTGCATAAATGAATACAACTTTCTTATTTTATATGGCACATAGTTTGGCTATGGTTTAAAAAAATGCCAAATTAGCAAAAGACAATAAATCTCTCTTTCGATTCTTCGGTCGTTTTGGCTATTCGCGTTATTAAACTTTTTTTGGTATTCCCCAGGCGTTAACTCCTGGCCCCCTCAGTTTGCCTCGTATTTTAATTATCCCCCGACGATAAATTTTGTTTTTTTTATTCTGTTTTTTTTCCTCGGTTTGTGTGTGCGGCGTTGTGGTTTAAGGATTTTCGCTCACGTCTTTTCTAAATTTATCTTTCACTTTTTTTGGTTTATTTGTTTTTTTTTAAAGAATTTTTAATTATTTATTTCGTCTTATTTAGATTTCCAGAATTTTGAAAAAAAAGCTATGTTGGGTTTTGAATTCAGAAACGGTAGATTTTTTTTTGCATGCACATCAGTCAATCATACATCCAAAAACCGTTCTTATCTTTTTGTCCATGTTCAAATATGAATTTGTGTAGCAGGTTCTGGCCGTCCATGGCGACGTTTCCTATAAAAAAATAACTGACATATCTAGATGTATTCGGATTTCTCATTTTATCTCAGTTTAAAGTTGCATATATTTGGGAAAGCAAGATGACATAATTATGCAAACGCAGATATTTTGAATTTGTTTTACGTTTATAGTGTCAAATTGTTTCAAGAACGTACAGAAGATTTAATGAACATTCTCCGCATTTGCCACCAATGTGTGAGATAAAGTTTAATAACAAATAATTCTCACTGTTTTTTAACTAAATTATCGTATTATACTTATTAGCACAATAATATGTCAACGGTATAATTTGAACCAAACTATACCCCGTCCATCGTATGAAAACGGTATGAAATAGTCATGCTGTGAGCGGAGTTGCTTTAGTAATGATGATAATATATTATTGTTACATTTGAAACTGTTATTTGGTTTTGCTGCGGGGTGCTGCTTATGACTTTTTAAAATTAATATTGCTCTCCCCTGCAGTTTTCTTTTTCAGGAATTATATCAAACGTGATAACTTTTGTTTCGCATTTGAATTGATTTTCCGCTTATGCGGTTTCGTGTTTTTAACTCAGTTGAAACTAGGAAAAATAAACATTTAATCTCTGGGGATGCACCCCCTGCGAGTGAAAGACGTAGTTAGCATTGCAGTAATTTTTGAAATTGAAGACTCGGTTTACACGTTATTTACGTATACATATGTAAACTTGCTACTTGGCCTGACGTATTAATTAAAGAGCTTCCAAAGAAATACTAGAAATGGCAGAGTTTATAGAAACGTTAATTTTATCTTTCGGGTAAATATTAAATAAAAACCTGAACAAAGCCAACGGTGAGTTAGTCGCTTGCGGTTATATTTGGTCAGTTATAATTTATGTTTTGCTCAAATGAAATTTTTTCCCGCTGTCGCATTCAAGCGGGTTTCAACCATTACTTAAAATTTGCGGAAACAAAACGGTTTCCCTCTTTTCATTAATCTTGAGCGGACAAGTCGTATATTTTTATTATTTTATCTTAACGTTTTTGATTGTCTACACTAAATTTCGTTTAGTTTTGACAAAAGGTCGACTTTACCGCTCCCGGCAGGAACAAAAAATATGGATCTTCGATAAATTAAATTCGGCCAATTCATGCCGCGGTGTTTCACCGTAAATATGACAAGGACACCGTCAGTCGGGAATTTAAAAAAAAAAAACATTTTTAGATCGCGACGTTTTTTGGAAGGGAAGACTAAAGTTTGAATTGAATTAATGACTTTCATCGCCGCCTTACACTTTATGCATCTACTGAATGATCATTTTGATTTTTTATTACTTTATGATATGAGATTCATCTTTAATCTTGTTGTTGTTTCGAGTATTCCAACTGTTGGCAGGAAAATTTGAGTTTTCGGTGATTTCCGTGTATATTCGACCACGTTTTTTTAACATTCGTCTAAGATTCGTTAGGGGTAGTTTTTTAGAAAAGCAATAGAATAATAATTTTGTTGTAACTCAAAACGCAATAGACCATGGGATGGGATTCTAACGATAGGTACCCAATTTATTAATTTACTTCTTTATAATTTTTCAAAAAAACCTCCGCAGACTATTTACAAACCTTTTGGATTCCTCCTGCATCGGTTGTTGATTTCAAAGTTTCTATCTTAATTGAAAAATATTTTTTGTGTAGTGTATGTATGTTGTGTAATATCTGTGTAATGCATTTTCAGATCACTGTCCGGCCCAAAAATCATTGGTTGTCAACTCTCTTGTTTACAGAGCCGTAAAACTATCTCAACCAGAGTCACTGAACCCAGAATCCAAACACCTTACCTCTACTCTTCTCTTTAATAATTTCCACATTAAAGATATTAAGCGTTCAATCACAAAATACACTTCACTACAACCTTCCAATAGCAATGAAGCCGAAAGCAATTCTACACTTGCCAGTGCAGTCCTTCCTTACATTCAAAGCAACACGGACCACATATCAAAAGAACCTAAGAATAGTATATTATGCAACAAGTGCGGTAAAAGGCATTAAACACTCGCTCCGCTCCTGTCAAATAAACTCGTGAGTTAAAAAGTTTACCGAACGTGTTGCATACTATACTTTTTCCACGACCGTTAGTTTTTGGGTACATTTTCGCAAAACAACACTGACATGATCGTCAGAATTGACAAACGTCAAAATTGAAAGTGTGGGAAATATCTCCGAAAATATCCGATTGCTCCCAAATCCGTGCGGTAAAATCCCGGAAATATCCGAAGTGGCTTGGATTCATGGGAAACGAAACTAACGCGGTAGTGACGCTTCCCGCACGCTAGATCGGTGGGTAATTAGGTATTTTATAGACGGGAGTAGAAAGATATATTGTTAAAAATAGATTTAGCTTGTCCAAAAATCTCTTCAACATTTTCGATCCATTAAAGAAAAAGGCAAACAACAACCAACACGCGGAATCCAATAGAGTAGTAAATAGCATGTTTTTTTTTAATTCGGTTATAACTGTATATATTTTTATTGACAAAAAATTAAACAAGCACTGAAAATCCCTTTTTCTTCTATTTTTTTCCTTCTATGATTTTGAGCTGTGAAATGTGTGATAAATTTTATTCATTTGTATGTTTTCTAACCTTTATATTCATTTTCATAATTATTTATGGCTTATATTTGAAATAAATTTGAAATGATTTAGCTTATGAGAAAAATTAAAGAGCAAGATTATGTAAACTCAATTGCCTTGTAATAGTACTCAATCGAATTAAAAAAGTGTATTTGTCGTAAAATTAAAGAGTCATTTATTTTTGTGTGGATTAGGAGAAATCTGCCACAAGCTAGAACGTGCTTATGAGTTGTGTCCAACGACCGTTTGTTTTTCTCGGCTGGCTCATATTTCAAATAAACGAATGGATAGCTGCCTAACGCTCCACACATTCATCACTGTGGAAATATACCAAAGTTTAAATCAATAAAGGGTTCGTGTATACACCGAGATAGATATATCATTACATGAAGTTATCGTGATAAAATTATCACGGCCTGTCAGCGGAAGCAAATTCGCTTATAAATAATCCCTGGGAAAAAAAATCAATCGCTTATAGCAACGTTCTTCTCGTCTCCAAAGGTTTGCGTTAAAGGGTTCTTATTAAAATGGAAATTTTCAATTATTGCTTTGAGTTGTAAACAGATGTTTAACTTTTCCGTGTCGTTGTCAGTTAGAACTTTGTCACTCATTTAATTTTAATTTGCATTTAGTTAGGCCTTACGAGAGTATTGGTGTTGGTTTGGTTGATGTCCAAAATTCGATCGATATTCGTTGAAGTGCTGAAATACTAATTTTTCTTCCTTCTCTGTAGATTGCAGACTTTACCTCTTTTTTGTTTGGAATGCTAGTACACCTAAGATAGTTCCTAACAAATTACGCACTTGGTGGACTGCATTACACAAGTTTGAGTGTTTATTAATAATTAAAGAGGGGGAAATTAGGTTGCCTTGGGTAGTGTAATTGTTAAATTAAAATTATTTATAAGTTATAACTCGGTTATAAGCTGGCCGAATTGACTAATGAAGCAGTGACCAAATAAAGCGTACTTAATAAAAAAGAGGGGGAAAGATACAAGCGAAAAATATCAATATATGCCTATTTAAATGCATAGAGTTTTCAGAATATATGTATCGAAAAAAACAAAAAAATGCAAATATGCATTCAAAAATATAGAGAAAGGTAATAAAAGGTTTTCATTTTTATACACACATTGATAGCAAATTGCTATTGCGATTATAAAAAGTGTTTAATACAATTAAAATTAATAAGTCAATAATACATTTTCTTTTACAAAACTTCTGGATTCCCCCTCCGGCCAAGAACACGAAAGACCCTTACGACTAAGACATATAAACTCATCAGCAGTTGCCGAATACAATCACGAAACCGGACATAAAATATTATTCGATAAAATTAAAATTCTTGCATGTAATCAATACCAACGAAAAATCCGAGAGTCGATAGAAACCTATAAACAACCTAACAATCTTAACCGCGACTCAGGTCTCCACCTGTCACCAATATGGGAATATAGTCATCCGAAACGGTGTTTATGCCTCTCATTTAGCTCCGCCCCTCCCCCCCAAAAATTTATAAGCAGATACAGAGCAAAATGAGCTAAAGCAGCCTCTTTTAATGCAACTTCGTCGTTAAACCGCCGTCCACGTAAATCCTTTTTCAAATATCCAAACAAATAATAGCCGCTGGGGGCCATATCTGGACTATAGGGAGGATGATCTATCTATTGGAACCCACACTCTAAAATGGCAGCTTGTGCATTATCGTGCAAAAGACGCACACCTCTGGGTAGTTTTCCTGGACGTGTTTCACGTATGCAGTCTCGCAATTTATGTAATAATGTTGCGTAATATTTACCATTGACAGTGGTATTAGTTTCTTTAAAATCTATCAAAAGAATTCTTTCACAATCCCAAAAGATCGTGGCCATCTCCTTTTTTGTTGACTGGCAGATTCTGAATTTTCTTGAAGGTGCTTCACCCTTACAACGCCACTGCATTGATTCTTTTTTCGATAGAGGGTCATAGTAGAGAACCATAGTTTCATCTCCTGTCACAATATCACAGGCTTCGGTCTAAGAATTTCTTTATTACTGGAGAAAATGCATGTTTCTCCACTCCTTATTATTTAATGTACGAGTACTAAAGTATTTTTGTTCCTCTCAGATACCTTACGCCTAGTGGCACTCATAAATCAGCCTAATGTAAATATTGAGAAGCCCAAGGCAGAGCTGGATTCTCCTTTTATATAAAACTTCAAGAAACCAATATATTATAATGTAGTTTAATTTATTTAAATGCCGAAAACATTTTTTTATTAAACACAAAGATTAAATTTTTCAAATGACAATTCTTTGCAAAGATGCACGTTTAACATTCAGATTATAGTTATCGTAACTAACCAATATTTTTTATCTTTACCACGTATTTAATTTAACTGTGTCTGTTATATTTGTGTGCCTACAGGAAAAACGTCATGTACATCTGTACCACTTGAAAAATCAATCAAAATTCAACGTCACCGGAGAATTGGACATCACAACTTTTCCTACGGGTCAGGAGTTTATCTTGTCGGCAACTCACCTAAACAGAACTGTCACGCTTTGGACAGATTACGCAGTGCAATCGAGAAAATACAGCCAGCATTCGAGAATCGAACTTAGCCCAAGCGTTTGGGTAGAATATGATTTGAGTTTAGTCAACAAGACTATGGTGAGTCTGTAATTTTTAATTTACTTTTATCATGTAAGGGTTCTTTTGTACAAATTTGTATCATTATCAGAACCAATGATAGCAACTAAGAATTTCACGTTATACATAGACGAGACCTAGATAAATAGATTTATAGAATAGATAAATCTACGTTTTATAATGAATATTTTCTTTTTATGGTTTGGACATAAATTCTTGCGACTTTAACCAGTGATGCCATATGTATTTATATTCTATTTATCCAGTTAGCCAACGGGTTTGTTATAGCTACGCATTAATTAATTCTCTTCACATATGCAACATTTTATTTTCTGGAAGCATGAAATAACTTATATCTTCTATTGCAATCAATTTGAAGTCACGATAATGGTACCATAACTCAAGAATTCCAATAAATAAAGCCCGAAATATTTTATACATACAGTAATTGTATCAAGTCAAAATTTCACAACAAAAATATTACTAACGACAAATACAATAAATTACAATAAAAACAAACCTGGCGGTAGACATTAAAGTACTAAACTCAGAAAAAAGCAGTGTAAATTTTTATTTTATCATCAAATTCTACGATAGAGTAGAAACAGTGAAATAAAAGATATGTCACCTGAGGCTCTTATGTTGATACTCAGAAGATTATACAAGTCAAAATGAAAACTAAGAATATCTGCTATGATGATTAGGATTATAGGCAGTTTTTTATATACATGCACGATTTTTATGAATAAGAAGCAGCTGTTGATACAACCAAACACAATATCAATTGCATAATGCGTAGTTTTATAATCCATGGCTCACAATGATCACGATAGCCAATTTTAGCAATAGTTCTTTCTTATTGCTTGATTTAGCAATTTAAAAAATAACATACCATGCAATAGAATATGATATCCTATAATTAGGTAAAGTCTGTTCATAGATATAAGAATGTGACTAACTGATACGAATTAAGGAAAGACCCAGGCAGGCTGTAAGAATGAAATATGGAAGAACAGGTCCGTACTTTGCTTAGAATTTAATTATTTGGAGTTTTGTTAGGAAATATACTAAACAACATTTATTTATGTATGTATTTATGTTTAAATCTAAAACAAAATTACAAATTATTTTTATTACCTGCTTAAATTACTTTAAATTATTCACATAATATATCAGTATCACTATCGCTATCATCGCCTGTTCTAATTATTATTTGTTCTATATTATTTGCATTTATTTGAAATGGGATTATTCACAATTTTCCACACAGTTGATGTTGGAATTTTCATCAATGTGGCCGTTTCTTGTAGATGCTTGCTTGCTGGCACCGCGTTCAATGAGAGTCAAATAAACATTGTTTATAACTTCCTTAGTCTCAATAGAATAGTGTTTTCTACTTTTGGGCGGGATCATCTTCTGAGATACACTAGACTCGCACATATTTTGCATAATTCGCACACGATTCAACACACGCGAAATAAGAATGATTACAAATAAACTTAAACTAACTAGTATACCAAACCAAAGAATATTAAACACAGGTAAGTATAAAATTATTTTCTATTACGGACCACAATTTTACCTGAATTTAAATTCCGAAACTTTAGGTAATAATCTTGTTGCATTGTATGTTAATGACCATCCTTGGATAATCCCATTCACAAGAAATTGGCCACTTTCTTATATCTTTGAACAGACCATACTTATGAGACAATCCTCTCAGTCGTCTCAGAACGAGCAGTCCACTGCCAAGTTTTGCTTTCAATTCACTAACATGTTTTGATCTAGCTGCCGAAAACTAATGAATAACTGTGAAAATGTGTACAATTTTTGTTCCGGTTTAATTGATCTTATTATTAATGTTTTCCGCTTACACCAGTACTAGTTTGTTGTGTATTATATCTAAAGAATGGCATTTTTGATCATCAAATGATTTTTAAATCTGTTTGTTTAATGCATGAATTAATCTAAAATACCGATGAATCTTGAAGGTGTAAAACCCTACTATATATAATTCGTAAAACTTCTCTACCGAACTGAATAATTTAGTTGCAAATCCATCCTCTAAACTCTAAAATTAGACTATTCAATCCACCCACCTTATAGTAAGTTAATTGCGCGTTAAGGCGGGTTTTTAAGTGGCTCATAAATGTTATATTGGATCTTTGAGGTTGCATAATTCCTGAAACGTGCCTACACATTCGTAAATAAAGTTACCCCTTTTATAGCGTATTATTTTTATCGACTTCGAATGGCATTATGTTGCACTTTGTATGGGCAAATTTATGAACTAAACAAACAAAAATCTGCGAGGAAGTTATTTACTAGAATAATATATTATAAAGGTTCCAGTGACATCGGAATTTAAAATATTTTTTACTTCCTACAAAAATATAACATTATTGGCGTTTATTTACAGTCTTCATGATTTCAAGTAGAGCGTTTTTATTGCACTAATCAACTTGTTTATGCGACCCAAAAACAATTTATTTAATTGTGAAACAAATAGGAAAAGCATCGTCTTCTAAGTGTTAATATAAGTAAAGCGTGGGTTTGAATCGGAGCAGAAAATATCTAAAAATACCATTCAAAAATTTCAGGATGACGTGTTTGACGCTCAGATGGTTTTCATTAATATATCATACCCCCGACGTAACTTTACCGCCGAAGGTTTCTACAATCTGAGCGATTCAATTGTTTCAACTGACGTATCACTCGTGTGGGACAAAGATAACAAAACCGTTCGAGCGACTTTGGACTGGAGGCGAATCTCACCCCATCGGGAACAGTTAGAGTTACTGTTGAAGCATCCTTCCTTTGAAAGGGTTTGTATAAATTCCTATTAATTATGAATTTCATAAAGATTTTAAATCTCAGATAGGACCTTTACGTTGACGCCGCGTTGAAACAATTAAAACGATCGCTTTATTTCCATTCCCTTTTTCGCTTTGACCTTTTACGTTTAACTAATGATTTGCTTAAAAGGGGTAAGTTGAAAATATGATATCGGGATTTATAGACGGTGGCCTATAACAGCTTATTTCCTCCATAACTCTATGAAACTAAACAAAAGTTTTATTTAAAAGTTTCTCATATTTGCTATATTTATAATAATAATAATAATAATAGTAATAATAATAATAATAATATTTATTTCCCAACAAAATAATACTAATACTAATTTTTGCAAAAAAGGAGTTGAATACAATTAAAATATGTTCAAGTTCAAATAGATACTTGCATATAGTCATAGCCTAATAGATCACGTTGTAGTAGATCAAATATACAGAAATAAATGTGTGCTAAATAATGTCATGTCAGATCACTGTAAATTAATAGTTACCATAGCTTAAAATATCAAAATACATAAGTTACTTATGATATTAAAGCAGTGAATCATGAAAAACTTAAATATATATTTAAACGATCCATTAGAGAAATCAATTTGCGGGAGTTTCAAGAGTTAATTGAGCTAGTAATCCTTTTTACAAAACTTCTGGATTTCTCCTGCGTCGGTTTTTTCTGAATCGAACTTGTTGACGTTTCGCCAATCATCCTGTTGGCTTCTTCAGAGCTTGACTGAAACTGGCTCGCATTTTACTCTGTACCTGCTTATATATTGTCTAAGGGGAGGCGGAGCTAAATGAGGGACATAACCACCGTCTCGGATGACTGATTCCCATATTGGTGACAGGTACAGACCTGAATCGCGGTTAAGATTGTTAGGTTTTTTTTTTATAGATTTCTATAGATACTCGTATTTTGCGTTGGTGGAAAAAATTATTACATTCAAGAATTTTAGTTTTATCGAATAGCATTTTATGTAAGGTTTCGTTATTTAGTTCGGCAACAGCTGATCAATTTCTTTGTCTTAGTCGTAGGGCTCTTTCGTGTTCTTTGAGCCTAGCTGTTATTTTTCGTCCGGTTTCTCCAATGTATCCTTTGCCGCATGTGCTTGGAATGCTGTAAACTCCTGACATCTCAAATGGAATTTCATCTTTGAACGTTTAATATCTTCGGTTGACGGAAGTGACAGGATCTTGAAAATATTTTAGAAAATAAGTACATTTGGTACTCAGCTCAACCGCAAAAATTGAAAGGCGTTTCTAAATTACTCAGTTAACTTTTAGTGAACAAGTTGTGTGAAAAACGCAGTACAGGCAAAATACACCAAGCCCTTCCTCCTTTTTTTTCAGTTTTACGGAATGATGGGACACCCTGTTTATTCTTTCAATTTTTTTGCAATTCCAGGACGTTTCGTTTGTGAGCGGATACGGCTATAGTAACTCTTCATTAGACGGCGAGCTGGTAATAGAGTATTCAACGGATCCCTACCGGCGAGTCAGCCTTGGCGTTAGGGCGGATGATAAATCAGAGCGGCAAACTTATAATTATACATACAATATTTGGGCCGAACACAACGCTACGAATTTATATTTGAATTGCTTCGGACATGTTTACTGGAGCCCTACTAAATGCGGTACCGTTCACATTGCCGATTACAAAAGGTCCTACTTGCCTTTGTCGGAAGCGGAAACACTGGCCGTTTTGGATTTCGATCTCAACGATGTCAAGTTAAAGGTAAGGACGCCATATTTGTTTAGAGAAAAACTAATCTCTTCATTCTCAAAATAATTTCGGGCGAGAAATTCCGCTACCAATTTACATTTGCTGAAAGGAATTGTTTTATTTAATTACAGACTCTGGAAAGTTACTTAGTTAATCTTTTTAAGAAACTTCCACAGGCTACTGTAATACTTTTTACTTCTTGGCTTCTTCAGAGTTTGACTGAACTCTGAAGAAGTCAACAGGATGATTGGATGATTGAAGTTAAAGCTTGAATGATAATTATTACTAGGCGCCACGGTCATTTCCTTTGACATTTTCAAATCTATTTTAATCCATAATGGGCTTTCACATACTCTGCCATTCAACCAAATTTAGGAACAAATCTATCTGCCGATCCCTAAAGTTATTGACATGATAATGATTAAAATGGGTAATATTAATATCGCCAAAAGAATAATGAGCCATTACTATTGGTTGATTATTGTTCCATCATGATGATCAACGTTGATTATAAAAACAAATATTTTCCTTGTATTGTAATCTAAAATATTCAGTTCGCTGTTAGATATTACCAGTTCCTCTACAACTACATCATCGTCTTTTAGATTTAATTAGTATCACTCCGATCAGTTTGCCAGCATGGAACCCAGGTACACGAAAAGTATTTTTTATCAGTAAAAATTAGTCATTTTGACCTTTAGATTAATGTGATGTGTTGCGTATATACGTCAACATCAGTGTAAGTGATTTGCTTTGGCTTGTAAATTGTTATCTTTGCATTGGGTACTTCCGTTATCAAAGTAAATTGCACATCGCACTTAATTATGGTTTGTTTTTTTTTATGCTGGGTAATGTGTTGAGTTATTTTCGATTTGCTCCGTATTTTAATCACGTTAGATTAAAAAATATCGGAAAACCATCTTTTAGATCAATCTCGCATAACATAACACAATTAGCTTCAAATTTCTGCTTATAGCTGTAGTACGCTGTTTTTTTTTTTGGTAAATGTGAAATGTGTTTTTACATCCCTTACTGTCTCAAATGGGAGCCATTCGTGTCAATTTGAATACCGTTCAAAAAAAAAATCGGGCCCCCACTACTTCACCAAAACTAAGTAAAAAGTATTGCTAAATTTGAAAAAGTACCTTAATGAACAAAAAAGAATTATTTTCTCGTTAACCGGAGAAATTAATCATTTGTTTGTTCTAATATCAGTTTCGAGTAAGAATATTGATAAGAGTGTTTAGAGTGTTTTTTTACATCACTAAAATATGAGTTTTTGTGCCTTTTATTTATTACGTATATTATGAATTTTTTTTTGCAACCTCAAAGAAAAAATTATTGCATAAGTAATGGATATCGTTATGCTGCTTATATCTTCTCTGTGTGTAATTGTATTATACGCATGAATTGTGATTTCAAATAAACTCTAGTCGAATTTATATATTCTAAAAGTTAACAAAACGAACCTTCGTCGATTCCAAAGGAATGAGAGAAAGCGATTTGACTGCTACGCAAAAAAAACTTGAGTTTTTTACTTCGAAGTCGACGTTAAAGGTTTCGTAAAAACTGACGCGTGAAGTGCGTTATTGTTGTCGTTAAAGTTGTGACTGTTATTATTATTTCCGTTGAAGTGAAAGTGAAAATTTTGATGTTGGCATTAATGTACGAGGGCAGCGCCAAAATTTCCCGGCCTGAATATGAAAGAAACAAAACATAGTAACAATTTTTTACTATTTTTCAATATAATCCTCCTTAACTTCAATACTTATTACTTTCTTTATTAACAACTCAATCCCTTTAAAAAAATATTCTTAATTCTTATTCTAACTCAACTTCGTCGTTAAATCACCGTCCACGTAAGTTTTTTTTCAAATATACAAACAAATAATAGTCGCTGGGGACCATATCTGCACTATAGGGAGGATGATCTATGGAACCCACACTCTAAAATGGCAGCTTGTGCAACACCAGCAGTATGGACAGGTGCATTATCGTGCAAAAGACGCACGCCTCTAGTCAGTTTTCCTCAACGTTTTACACGTATGCAGTCTCGCAATTTATGTAATAATGTTGCGTAATATTTACCATTGACAGTGGTATTAGTTTCTTTAAAATCTATCAATAGAATTTTTTCACAATCGGAAAAGATCGTGGCCATCACCTTTTTTGTTGACTGGCAGACTCTGAATTATCTTGGAGGTGCTTCACTTTAACGACGCCACTCCACTGATCCTTTTTTCGATAGAGGGTCATAATAGAGAACCATAATTTCATGTCCCGTCACAGTAGTTTCTATCACAGGCTTCGGTTCCGACCCACAGAGTTCCAAAAAAGACAGCGCACACTCGACACGGCGTTGTTTTTGAATAGCCGAAAGGTTTTTAGGAACCCATCTTGCACTAGCCTTATGCATACCTAAATGTTCATGCAGGATTCGACGAACACTTGTATCAGAAAACTTAGTAATTTCTCAGATTTCCTTGACCTGTAAATATCGATCACTCAATACCACCTCTTCCACAATCGCAACAGTATCTTCCGTTATGACCTCCAGTTCTTGAATCATCCTCAAGGGACTCCTGCTCCGTTCGAAAACATTTTGCCCATTCTTTCACTACAGAATACGAAGGAAAACTTTGGCCGTACACCCCATCCAGCCTTTCTCTAATAATTTTAGGTGTTAACTCTTCTTATGTCAAAAATTTTATTACTGCTCTGTACTAAATTTGCGTTATTTGCGACCTTTTTGTCGACACGTCTTGTTTAAAATGCTGTCAATAAAAAACTATTTGAACCAAGACTTCAATTTTTTTTCGCTGCCTACTAAGATATATATTTAAAAGAAGACAAAGTTTTATCGTGATACTGAGGGTGCATTTATGCTAGGCAGGGAACTTTTGGTGCTAACCTCGGAGTGTCACTGGTAAGAAAGTTTCCAATACTGGTTTGATGTTTAATCGATAATAATCGGCAAGGATGTAAATTTTTATTTGGTTAGTAGCATAATTAGAATCTAGACTATTGTTTTTAAACGCTCTTTTATGTTCGTAAATGTGCTTCTTGAAGGATCTATCTGTTTGTCCGATACAAATTTTGGGACAAGATCCGCATTTAAACCTGTAGACACCTGATTTTTGAGATTTTGGACATTTCGCTTTATTGTTTTTTAAAAATTTTCCTATTGTGTTGTTAGTTCTGAAAGCTATTTTTAAACCACATTTTGACAAATGTTTTGAAACTTTTGAACTGGGTTCTCCTATGTATGTAATTGTTTTAAATTGTTCGTGTTCTGTATTAGGTTTCGGATAAATAGAGTTTACTGTTGTCTGGATTTGTTTTTTATTTATAATTTTATCTATAACGGACGGATTGTAGCCGTTGTTCAGTGCAATTTGTTTAATGATATTAAATTCTTTGTTGTAATTTTCTGTTGAGACTGGCGTATTAAGAAGTCTGTGTATAAAAGAGTTAACTGCAGCCATTTTGTGTGCATAAGGGTGATTTGAGCTGTTATGTATGACTGTGTCCGCGTGTGAAGGTTTATGATAAATTGAAAAATGTAATTTGTTTTGCGCTTTCGTTATACTTAAGCCTAAAAAATTAATTGAGTTATCCTGTTCAATCTCGATATTGCATTTTATACGATTATGTAATTTAAAAAAGAATTCAATTCTCTCTCCGTTCCAACAAAGCAAGCAATGACATCATCCACGTATTTATATCATCATAGAAAAATTTTACTTAAGTGATATCTAGTATAATATTTTCCAAATTATCCATAAAATTCTCGGCTCACAAAGGACTAAGCGGGTTTTCCATAATCAAATGTTCTTTAGAGATGTAAATCTGTCCATTAAATTGAAAATAATTTTGGTCTAAAGATACAATTTACCAATCTAATAAACCTTATTTCACCAATTCACCTGTTTCCGAGTTAGGGTGAAATCTACTAAATCTATCACCTCCACACATCAAAAGACAATAGTGTTGCGTTAGAAAGGATTTTGATATCTTTAATTTTGTTGATTAATTCAAAAGAATTTTTTGTCATGTATAAATATATAATTTCGTGAAAATCTGAACTTTTAGTTCTTATTTATTTATATTAAATGATTTTGTTCACTATACCTTTGTTAACAGTTTCAGTTAACCTCTGAAGAAATATGATTGGCAAGACGTCAGTAAATGTTATTTATTTATTTTATTTAATATTTGTAAATTCTATTATGTTTTCGAAGTTATTAATAAAAAATGAAATAAAAATTTTTAGTTGGTTCTAACAATTTTTTTTTCAACAAGAAAATTGGTTCTAAAGTAATGAATATTTGAAGAGTGTATGTAGACTTTTATGCTTCATTGTTGCATTTTTGTCATTAAATTCACGTGACTGGCCAATATTACGCAATGAATGGTATGTATGCTGGAATCTACTCCAAATCTGGTAACTTCTTGTCAAATATGAGCTTAATATATAATATGTTTTCAATTTTCGAATGTTGAGTAGGTGTTTTTTTCTGGTAATTAAAAAAAATGCGAAATTCCGATGGTCTTGAATTTTTCCGGTTGTGTTTGATCTTTTCTACAAATTAGAAAATTGTTGCAGAAAAACAATACCCTCACGGGATTGTCCTACTTCTGGGGCAGATATAGCGGCGATTTTCCCGTTTATTCGGCAAACATGACAACAATAGACGGAACGAACCACACGTCGGGGAAATTTCACCTTCATTTCACAGAGAAGCTGCTTTATTTGGACGTCAACATGACCGAAGGTAAGTTAAGACCTTTCTCAGACGCTTAATTTTTATTGCATTTTTTAATTCCGGGGAAAATGTTAGATATATTTTTAGTTTCTCTGTTAATGAGATATTTTTATTCTCTGTAAAAATTGACGTTTGCACATCGAAAAATATACGTAAATTCTTGCTACATAGGATTCATCTCAAATAAATATTTTTTTTTAGAGATTGGTCAAGTTTAATTACTAATTACGATAATTACTAAGACTAATAAATAATAGAAATCTTTATTTTGTGCCTCTAAAAACAGTGTTACTACAATAATAAATAGAAATTATACTAACCAACAATATAAAGTGCAGAAAGCAGGAGATTTTGATTTATTTAATTCGTATGCTAGTTAACAACTGATTTATGATGTTATACATATAGATAAGTACAAAAGTAATGATCGGAGATGTGGTAATAACGTAAAGCGTAACGAAAGTCATGTTAAAGCTATAGTCTATCGAACTAAACTTAAATTGTACTGAAGAGGGATGTTATTATATATGCGATACATTGAGTAGGTGAAACTTCCCTCAAACATAGCTGACCCACGGAATCTTAAGTTTAACTTAAAAATCTATTATTATAATTTTATCATATATAGGGTTCAAAGGTAAGGGTAACTTTCTACAAATATATATATCACGAATAATTTTTTTAGATTCAAATAATCTGAGTTATGGAAGAAAATTAATTGTAAATAATTATACCAGCAGATTCAAATTCTATTTGTTTTTTATTTATAGACAACAACAATAATTCGGTATCTGCAAAAACCGAAGCCATCACCATGGTTTTGGTTAGTCTTGGGTTGCAAAAAATCAATTTCAAAAAATCTGTTTTCTCGGGCCATCCTGGTTCATTCCGTTTAATTGTTTAACTGTTCGAAAACTATAAATATTCATTATATAGAACTCTCACTGATTTTAAAATTGTCAAAAATGGTGTGCCACAGGGTTCTATTCTTTTTCTCAATGTAGGAAGCAGATATGGAAGGCTGTGTGAAGTATTCGAAGTTTGGACAATATTTAGCCATTAACAAATAGAACATTGTAGAAACACAAGAGAGGCTCAACTACGATTTGCAGAAACTAAACATATTTGCACAAGACCACAATTTAAAACTTAATCCTGAAAAGTCGCATCTAATCGTAATACCTAAAAATAACAACGTAAGGGAATACGTAGACTGCAATCTAAATGTTGAAATTAACATCAAAATTATTATTGGGTATTTGATAGTTCTTTCGACCATTATGTCAAATAGAAATTGTATGTGAGAGTTTAGTTTCATCTCTATTTTATTATGGTGATATGGTCTTTGGCGGCTTGCTGCCAAATAGATACATTTCCAAACCACATTACTCCGCATTTAAAGCATCACAAACTTTTAAATATGTACAATTTTACATACAAATTGTTAAAATAGTGGTAAGCCAGAGTACTTTTTTAAAGAGTTGAAATTGTTATCTCAATCACGTAAAGACACTAGTGACTTTCAAAAATCTTTTACATTCATCGCTATCAAAATGTGCAATGAATTACAAAAGAATTTAAAAAATACAAGATAAGAAACATACGAAACTAAAACTGCTCGGTGAAAAACAATATTTGTAACAGATCATCATATCGTGTGGGACAGGGGTAAAAAATATAGAATAAATAAATTTTGTAAGATTCTTCGTCTCAACTGTCTTTCTATTCTCGAGCGTTCTTCCTTCCTTTTACCAATACCAATTTTTTTTTCTTCTTATTTTTAGAGTTTTTGTTTCAAATATTTTTTGTTCCTAACAATAGAAGACGCATTTTTCAGGGTTTGCTCGCACTTTCCCCCTTTGAATGGTGAAATGTTTTTAAATGGGGAGGAAATGAAATGAATTAATTCGAAATTTGCCTGTTTTGGTTTGGTACGCAAAAAATGAATGTGTTACTATTTCCAAAAATGGCGTTAGCTTACAATCAATTGCTGTGATAAATTGATTGACTCCTTTGTTTTTGAAATTACTAGATTTATATAGAAGCTGCAAAGTTTCAAAGTTGTGTTCAATTTTCTCGTTGTTATGGGGTTTTTGATCCGCCACCCTGTGCAAGGGAACCCCTATTAATTACGGCGTCTACGGTATTGTGCCTGTGATATTTTAGAACCTTGTACTTCCTGTTGTTTTGTGAAATTATATTTGGGGCTAAAGGGTCATTCAACAGCTTCACAGGTCCACACAAACGGACTGGTCTGTTATATTATATTTTGCTATTGTGATAAATGATTAAAAATAATTCACCTAGAAATAAAAATGTATTCGCAAACAATATTTTCTTTGAATGTTTTTCCCGATCCCGGAAAACCGCGTAATTAGTGGGGTGAGCTTGTCGCTCGTATATTTCGTTTTTATTTCAAACTGATATGAACTTTTTTTGTACTATTTTTCGAAAAACACGGCGATATACATCCCGAGCAATTCGCATTCGAAATCCTTTATGCTACAAACTCTTATTCGCTTTTTTGCCTAAATCGTAAAAATTCGAATTTAAAGCGCCATAACGGAATCGAAAAATAATAACACCAGCTGTTGTATATCTGTCGACGAAAAAATCTGCATAATATTTTTGAAAGGGTATTGCAATCGAGGTAGGGGTGCAAAAACTACCGTTAAATTAATTAATCGGAACGGGATGCTGCTTTTTCGCACCTGTTGCTTGTTACGCGGGGTCAGAAGGGGGGGGGGGGTGTTTCTTTTTTAAGATTTCCACCCCTATCTTTCAGGTATCTATCAGGTCTGTTAAAATATTTTTCAGTTAGTGCAATTGCGTGGATTGGTAACCCTCACCCTGGTTTCAAATAACGTATTTCTTATATTATTTAATATTTTAGCAATGATCCCTAACCTAAACGAATGCAATGATATTTATTATTGTTTTATTGCTAAGTTGTGTTGCATTTCAAGCTCCTCCAATTGCATGATCAATTTTGCGGAAGGATTCCATTTTTAGCTTGATCTTTTTTTAATTGAAAAAAGGAAAGATATTCAAATCTATGATTGCTGATTATATCTATCTTCGAGGCATCTTGCAAAAGTTATAAAATATATTCTGAGTCTTAACCAAAACAGGCATTGACCGTTTGACTGTTGGTATGATGATTTTTTTCAATTTCTTTTCTGTGCCAGTAGACATAAATTAAACAAAAATAACCAAAAATGACGTCATCCAGAATTGTAATCCGCCAACCATATTTTATAGCTTTTCAAAACCAATAAAAATAGGATGTATTCACTGACTTTCAGTTATATTAAAAAACAAGACAGGAAAATCATCGCTAGTTCATTATTTAATAGTAATTTTTTCTTCAAGAACCTTCTTTGCAGCTGAGTAATCATCAGGGTAATTTTTATTTCAAGTATAGAGTAAGATTTTATCAAGGATGTTATCTAAAAAATATAGTAATTATAGTACACCCGAACACATAAATAACATGTCCCTCTATATTGACTATTTACTAACTAACTAACCAAAACTGTTTATATAAAGCGTAGGGAATTTGCAGAAACACAATTTAGGTAGTATTTGAAATGGCCCGCTCTGTATTTATTCTTATCTTCTAATTCTATGTTAGAAATTTACCCAAGTTCGTTCAAATTTTCCCACATCGAGCTCCTTCTCCTTTTTGAAAATAAAAGCTAAAAATATATATTGCAGTCAGCAACGAGGAGGTTCTTTGACCATTGCAAATGTTATTCGGTTGTAAAATCTGTAGAATTTAATGACATTGGGGTTAATCTAATCCTAACTGTGAAAAGTTGTTAATTTACGTGAATATCGATGGAAATAAGAATTTGGTATATTAGCACGGGAAGATTTATGAAAAAATTTCTTTTTTAATGATCAGATCTAGAGAGTTAAAGTTCTTTTATTGTAAATTTAATATTTGCGTGATTGTCGTTATCAATAAAACAAGTTAAAATGACATCCGTGTATCTATGCTAGTAGAGAAAGTGAAAGAATTCATGAAAATAACAGTTAATATTAATTGGCTGCTGATAATTAGACCAGTTCGAAGGTAAATTTCAACACATCGAAATACTTTTGATTTTAAGTGTTCAATTCTTTCAATTCATTTTCTTCAAATAACAGCTAAAGCTCTTAAATTTATTTCATTATTTACCAAAGTAACCTACTTTCAAGTTACTATTTGTAATAAGCAAGCACAACAATAAGAATCTTATTATACAACTTTCTAACTTTTGCTTTGATCACATTAGGTTTAAAAGACCACGAACAAATCAATGAACTATATGCTATATTGAAGCAATCTATTAAGAAACTTCCACAGGCTACTGTAATACTTTTTATAAAACTTCTGGATTCCTCCTGCGTTGGTTTTTGTTGAGTCCAACTAGTTAACGTTTCGCCAATCATCCTGTTGGCTTCTTCAGAGCTTAACTGAAACTGGTTTGCATTTTACTCTGCACCTGCTTTTATATTGCTTGTTATGTTGTTTTGAAAAATTAACGTCAACACTAGGGAAACCATCGAACTCTTCTCAATTATCAAACACTGTGATAAATGTATCATCGCACCAATTTTCGGAAACGGAAAAACTAGTGCTTTCAAAAGAGGAAATAATTTCAATTGTCGAGTCTATTCTAAACACACTACCATCTCAAACAGCTAACGAAATTCGAAAAAATCCTTGAAAAATCAAAACCCCCTAAATCTTATATTGCCTCGTAATCCTAAAAGCAGATAAAGGAAATGTTACGGTGGTCATGAACACAAATGAATATCAGGAAAAATTCAAGATATTCTTAAACCTTACTAACCTTACACCTTAAATCTATCATTAAGGCTTCTTTATCAGACTCCCGCGAAAAAGTCTGTCATCTCTCATGAATCTAAAATTCCTCGTCTCTACTGACTCCCAAAGATCCACAAACCAGGATTTCCCCTTTACAGGGCAAACTGACAGTTTCGTACTTAATTCTTTTCACCTCATGGAATCAATAAAAAACATTACATTAGATACACAAGATATTTTTGTTAGTTTCGACGTTAAATCCTTCTTTACTAAAGTTCCTATTCCTGAAACTGTCAACATCATTTCAGATATATTAAAATCCGAGAATCTGGAACCAAACCTTCTCACCTTAATCAAATTTTTTAACAAACATGGGGAACAGCTATGGGTTCTCCGCTGTTACCAGTCATCGCGAATATATTCATCGAGGCCTTCGAGAAGAAAGCTCTCGACACCTGCCATCAAAAACTAAAATTATGGAAACGCTACGTCGATGATACTTTTGTTATTTGGCCTCATGGTCAGGAATCCGTAGTAGATTTTCTTAGACATTTAAACTCTATACACCCTAACATACGTTTTACTAGTGCATTAGAAACTAATAACAACAAACTTCCCATTCTTAGATATTCTTATCAATAGGAAATCAGACCTAACATTGGGTGATTTTATTTACAGAAAACCTATTCACACAGACCGATACATTAATGCATTATCACTTCACCATCCGGCCCAAAAATCATCGGTTATCAATTCTCTTGTTTACAGAGCCGTAAAACTCTCAGTCCGAGTCATTTAACCCAGAATTAGAACACCTCACTCTGTTCTTCTCTCTAATAATTTCCACATTAAAAATATTAAGCGTTCCATCACAAAATACACTTCACCAGAACATTCCACTAGCAATGAAACTGAAAGCAATCCCACACAAAAATATCAACTAGGCTCAAAGAACATGAAAGAGCATTAAGACTAAGACAAATAAACTCAACAGTTGCCGAACACAATCACTAAACCGGACATCAAATTTTATTCGATACGACTAAAATTCTTGCATGTAATCAATTCTTCTACCAATGAAAAATCCGAGAGTCTATAGAAATAAGCAACCTAACAATCTTAATCACGACTCAGGTCGAAACGTTAGCTAGTTCGAGTCAACAAAAACAAACGCAGGAGGAATCCAGAAGTTTTATAAAAAGCAATCCATTAATTGTTGCAATTAGCACGTTCAGTAGGAGCTGTAAAATAATACAAATTATTGAACATTTCTTTTAGAGACAATACTTCAATGTGAAACTTTCTTGAAGAAAGTCAGGAATTGTTGAACTCTCCGCAAAGGTTTATTCGTGAGTAGTTTTGTGTAACAAATTCACAACAATCGAATCAAATCAGCGAGGATGTTTCGGTGGCAGAAGAAGATCAATTTATCGTTTGTCATTATTAATTCTACGGTGTTTATTTATGTCTGACCAAAGGACCAAGTCTCTCGGAGTAAACCAAGATAATAGTCGTTTCCGGTTCTAATTAGTTATAATAACGATGCAATGTCCTGTTATTTCTGCACCCACCTGCTTCTCTGAGGACCCCATTAATTCGAACCTTCGCATTTCAACTGTTCAGGTGCGCGGATGGTAAATAGAATTAACTAATGCGAAGAAAAACAAGTGCAGCCAACCAAACGGATGGTAACTTTACGCGACCTACCCCGAATCACGACGGTCTAATTTCGGTGTAACATTATACCTACGGCCAAGTAAAAAATGGGCGTAAAATTTATCGTGGAACACATAAATTTTCGCATTTATGAATGTTTTTCATTAGTTTCGGGCGGAATGAATTTAACTGCGGCCTAGATTATATATACCGAGTTTCCACGGGCCACTCTTTTATCATTCGAATGTTGGTTTTTATTGCTATTATAACAATGGTTAATAGATTAGGGCACGTCTTTATTAAATACTAAAAAATTAAATAGTTTTCCGTATTTTGTACGCGGAAAAGTGGCGACGTAATAACGTTTTCCGTGTCCGTGGTTAAAATATTACTTTCATCGGTTTAAATAAAATCATTGTGTTTTTCTGTAACCGTTATTAAAATTAATTAAAATTCAATTCTAAACAATTTGTAAAGTGGTCATTTTACTTGTAATTGAGGAACAATTTCGATTGCATAATTCCTTACCTTTTTTTCATTTGTTTATTTCAAGAAAAAGTATTTTTCTAAGGCAAACTATTTGAAGAAGGGACTTTCCCCGTTTTTAATTTAAATCGTATAGAGTGCGTCCAAGAGATACGAAGGTGGTTGAATTAGAATAAATTTGCACAATTTAATGCTGTTGAGAAAACTAAAAAAATTCTATAGCATCCTAAGAAACTCCAAAAACCGAAATTTTCGTTTTTATGTTTCTCTGATGTTATTTAAAGACATGTATAAAAATAAAATACTAAAAAAAAATCATATTTAGCATACATCATCGATGTCTGTTTTCTCACTTGTCCCGTTTTGCCTTTTTTGATCATTAAAATTAAGTTACGAAAATTTGTGTCAGATAACAGATAACAAAAACGCAATTTCATTTGCCATTTACAGGGATGTTTAAAATTGGGAACACAACATTTTTTGGGTTTTAGATGACAAGCATATGTGATAAGTTTCATTCATTTTTATATAGTATTGCTGATTAGAATTGTTTCTTGTATGATCTAAAATACTTATCATGTATAGTCGGTACGGTTTGTGATGACATAGTCGTCAATAAAATGCCAGACAGAATAAAATAGATTGTTCATCTTGCTTCCACTTATACTTCAACGATTACTTGGGAGTAAAAGAAACAGAATCAGTTGTACTTGACAATTGTTAATTTAACCATACTCAGAGTTGGTTTCATGTATTTTCTATGTAATAATAGATCAGGTTGTTCCTTAAAGATATGCCAATATTATGATAATTTATTAAATAAACGATTTTCCCAAAAAAAATTAAAACAATACAAAAAAATGGGTTATCGGTTATACAACTGATCCAATTTTCTTTGATAACTGTCTGGAGAGCTGCCTTCCAAACGTTGCATTGCCTAACTATTTTTGTTAGAAAATATTTTTCACTGAGCCCACACGCCACATTTTAGACCATTTTCTGGGTAATTTATCCGCTTACTGCGCAGCCAATTGATAATTTCTTCTTTTCTTGTCGATGCATTTGGTACACTTTAACTAAGTCTAGAATGATATCGTGCATTATCCATAATAATAAAACACACTGTTTTGTAGTAGAAACTACTTGTAGAGTGTCAGAACTTTTTAAAGTGCAGTTTCCGATATATTTCCTGGATTCATCACACATATTTGAAAGGATACGATTATGTGATTTTCTCATTACTTTTCTAATTTCCAACTATGGTCTATAATCATGGTGAGAATTGAATACAATTTAACAGTTATATCTCTGTTTCAGACGGTAGCCAAAGTTTGCACACCTATGGTATAATACCTGACGCCAGAAGTGCCCGATTTGATATTTGGCGCGATTACGAAGACAAGAGGTTGACTGACGTGTCTTATTATCTCAAACTCAATCACTCAAGATTAATAATGTCCAGTTTACGATGGAGACCGGAACTGATAAGCGATGTACAGGTTAGTTTTTGTCCCTGCCACGATGCCCTAAAACCTTATTTGATTTGTGTCCCCAAAACGGTCTTCGGGGAATTCTTTTTCACTTGCGTTGTCGTGGATATAGGGGATTATCGTGATATAAGGCTTAGTTCGCACTTAAGAAAATGTTTATCGTTTTCGCCTTGTATTTCGATCCGTATTAGTGAGTTTACTACAACCGCTCGTTTAATTTATTTAAAAATGAAACCCACGGAAAAACCTAATCAAATTAAAATCGTAAACTACTGGTGAAACTGGGGCGCAAAAATTGTGAACAGCTTTCAACGTAGAAATATAAATATATTTTATTAATATTTTGGGAAGTAGATAAGTGCAAATAATAGTCGATGCCATTTTCAAACCAATTGATTAACAGGGTTCTTAAAAATCCTATAGCGAGATGAGCAGACACCAGCGTGAAATAAAAAAAAATCAAATGCGGACTCCCTCAGGGTTCCCTCCAGGACCTGTGTTATTTATTAACATTAACATTCTGAATTACAAGCGTTTGCCTGATATTTCTTTTTTACATGCAGATTAAACAACATTTATCTGTACGCCTAGGGATAAATAGAGATAGATGTACAGGGTGGCTGAAATTCGTCGCTCATTATCATTAGAATTTCGAAAACCGTGAGACATACACGATCGGTTAACTGGAGGCAAAGTTGCGCAATTTATTGCTCAATGAAATGCAATGAAAAATTCCGAATACTTCCGAAGTTATTCGAAAAAAAAACAGAAATTTTAATTATGGTTTCTAATGTTTTCCTTTTGTTTGTTGTTTTGTTATCATAACTTATAATGTTTCCCACTTTTTCTGCTTGATAACTCAGTGTGATTAAATATTGAGTCTGAAGTTTCGGCTTCCAAACTAACCCAAACTAATCATCATCAACTTAAGTTTTTTAAATGCGGACCTGATTTTTTTTCAGAGACACAAACAGAAAATTCCGTCACCGGAATATTTTATATTTATTTAACCATAATACGGCCCTGAACTAGCTTTTTAGGTGAGAAGGTAAAAAAGAAATAATAAACTTATTACATTTTCGTGATTTTTTTGTTCCAACTCAGTGATATCTAACAGCGGAAATTAGTTTATTAACAGAAACTTCCATAAAATTAAACATAAGATACAAACAAAGTAGACAACAAGTCAGTTTACATAAACAATTTGTGCTATATTATCTTGATACACATATTAAAAATAAACATAATTTAATCACTATAAATTTTCAAAGAGATAACTTTCTGCCTTGATGAATTGCATTTTATAAGGTGACTGTCGCAACGCGACCCTCCATAATTGTGGTAAGTTTTGACAGGATGAATAATATTCCTGGCTCTTGTTAATAGCAAAATGGCATTTTTTTCTTTAGAAATACGTGATATGATAAAAAGCTATTAAATTTGCAATCGAAACTCTCAAGTAGCAACTCAACACTGTATGGAAATGTATCCGGAAAGACCACAGCCTCATTATAGCCGTTTCGCTATTTTAGACAATAATTTGTCGTTATATGGTAGTTTTCATATACCAAAGAGAAAATGTGGATCTAGTGTAACTTCTTATTAATGGAGTTAGTTTATTTTTTATGTTTCTATATTTTTCTAAAATTTGAGATGTGTTGTTTTGCAAAAATGTACCAAAAAACTAACGCTCGTAGAGAAAGTATAGTGTGCAACACGTTTGGTTAACTTTCAGCACATTTGTTGCATAATATAATATTTTCCATTCGCTTCTTGAGATTACAAAATTATACACCGATCTGGCGTGCAGAAAGCGTCATTTTACCACGTGAGTTTCTTGTCCCACGGATCCGAGCCCTTTCGGACATTTCCGGGATATTACCGCACAGCTTTGGGGGCTATCGGATGTTTTTGGAAATTTTACCGCACGGCTTCAATTTTGACGTTTGTCAATTCTGCACTCGTTTATTAAACACTCGCTCCGCTCGTGCCAAATAAACTTGTGACTCAAATGCACTTTACTGCACTGCTTTTAGCTCACATGCTATTACATTCTCATGCCTACAAAGCGTTCAACTGGTTAGTTCAAAAAATAGATGAAAATGTAGCTTTCCTCAATAATATAATATTCACCAACGAATGCAGCTTCTCAACTAGCGGATTACCCAATAGAAACGATGAACATTATTGATCTATTGATAATCCAAGAATAAACCAGCATTTACGAAGTTAAGGGAGAACTTCATTAAATGGCATGTGGAGGAACAAAATGTCTTAGAGGCTCTAGACAATCAACCTTTGGCGGACCTCCTGTCCACAATGGAAGGGAAGTAACTCAATTCCTCAACCATGTATTTCCTAATGGGAGCCGAGATTACAGTCCCTTTGATTATTTCCTTTGGGAAATACACCTCACGCCCCATTCCTGTGAGAACAATTCATCGATCTATATTGAACATATAAAGCAAAGCAAGAAAATGCATCGAAAAAGACAGTTATCTCTTTGAACACTTGTAGGGATTAAATTATGTTTAATTTTAATTTGTGTAAACTGATTTGTTGTCTACTTGAGTCGCGATAAAAACATCACGAAAATGGTGATGGAATTTTCTGAAATTGAAAAAAATCAAATCCGTGTTTAAAAAATTAAGTTGACGATGGTTGCCAGCATCATACTGAGTTATAGGGCAGAAAAAGTGGGAATGAAAATGTGTTTCTCGTTTAAAGTTATCCTATCAATTAAAGCCAGGAGACCGTAAAGACAAAAATTGAAAATTCCGTTTTTTTTTTTCGAATATTTTTGGAAGTATTTTAACATTTAACCGACCGTGTATCTCTTTATTTATACTTGTTTCTAAGTTTTGCACGAAAAGTGCAACAGACTATATGAAAAACTCGGAGATTTATAAATAAAAATGTTATAAACTAATCAAGGAAATGAAGAATGGCTTAATCAGTCCCAATATTCCACTCACTCTGTATAAAAAAGTTTTCCATGATGTTTAATTTTTATTATAAAGATTAATAATTTTTACTTGCAAGGTGCAAGCAGATGACGGATTACTGTTATTAATATGATTTCTAAGTTTTAAATAATTTTAATTCTTTTGAAACTTAAACCTCATCGATAGGACTGCATGTAAGGTATTTATACTTACAGAGGGGATGAAAGCAGTTGTCAATTGTGACAAGACAAGTGTTTATCTATTATAATTCCTTAAGACAGAAGAACCAAAAAAAAAAACTTTCCATTTTCCATTAATTAGATTTCTAAGTTTTAAATAATTTTTATTCTTTCAAAACCTAAACATCATGGAAAAGACAGCCTGTGAGACATTTGTACTCAGATGCTGGATGAAAATATTTGTCAGTTGTCACAATACAGGTGTTCATTTATTATAAGCAATATAGACTTTAGTAAATCATTTCCAATATATGTTTGACAGAGGTAGCTCTGTATAAAAATTAAACATTTAAATAAACATGCGCAAATACGGAAATACCTCAATGTTTCACAATTTTTGTTGTCCTGTTTCAAGTTTCCAGCAGCTTATTTTGTTGAAATGGGAAAAAAAATCTGCAATAATTTAGATCATCTGGTCTGCACGTTTTCTTTACGTCGTTATTGGTGAAATCGTTTACGCTCTTCCAAAACCTACGTAGGGGATGGGAATTGTTTTTGTTACGTTGTATACGCGCCATTATCGGGATTCATAAAGTAGTCAGATTTGTTTTCCCATATCGGCAGACCTTTCAGCGGATTACAAGTATAAGCAATGGTGTTTGCGTTCAATATTCATTTTTATGCAGAACGGTATACGTTCAAAAGCGATGCAACTTTATTACGAAACCCTGGAAGAAATAAACAACACAAGGCAGTACATAAAGGCCGAATCTCTGGACGCTTTAGATGGAATTTGGCAGGACGCAAAACCTATTGTCCGGCATTATTTGGATGATCTAAGGTAAACATTATTCATAAAATTACATCAACCGGACGAACGGCGCATAACAAACAACCATTCTGTACCAAAATACGGTCTGGGAATATTATCCGGGAGTTTTATTCTCTACACCAACCCCCGATCAACATTTTGGGGGTACATTTGCCCAGTGAAAATTCTTCCCTAACGATACCGTGTATCGTTTAGGTTCCAAACGTTTTTGGGAATTTTAACGAATGGCCAAAATGTCTGTCTACCTCTCCCAAATTATTATCCGACTTTGCATTGGACTTTTTATTGTAAATTCTGCTACGTCTTTCGCTTTTTAATCTCCATTCCTCTCTCTGTCTCCACATGCCAATTTCCTTTCTTCAGTCTTTCTTTTTTTATCACTTGAGCGTTGTAATTTGACGTTCCATAGATCCTGGGTTCTAATGTCATCAATAACGTCGTATTTCTTATCTTGTCGTTTGGGATAGCGACTCACTTTGCAATTTTAATTAATTCATAATATATTTAGAAACAACATTTAATTTGAGATAAATGTATTTCGGTGTGGTCAAAATTACTTACTGAAAGAAAACTTTTCTTTCAAAATTGTCAAACGGAAGTCTCAGCACAATAGAGCCAGCATTTCATGTAAAATTAGATTCAAAACTGCATAGAAATGAAACCACTAACTTCTCAATTTTTTAACATTAATTTTTTGGAAAGTTATTTTCTTTTTCAAAATAAATAAGAACTAAAAGTTCAGCTTGTGGCGAAATTATATATATTCACATGACAATTGTTTGGACAAAACCGTGTCTTTATGTAATTTTTACAAACTGCCTGCACTATATATACCGAAAAATGACAATAAAACCTTAATTAATGTTGTTATGAGAATTTAAGTTCAATAAAGGAAAGGTATTTAAATCTAATTGATCGTTAAGCAATACATTTCAATGTCTCATTTTGTTAATCTCCATGGCTTCCAATAACTTGAATTTTCTGCTTTTTTTGGTTGTAATATCTCTTAATTTTTATAATTTTCGAAATACAAATTTACCGTTTTGAATAAAATATGTTCCAAAAGTTCGCGTAATACTAAATTGATTCCTCCACTTTAATTGGCTTTATATTCAATATCCTTTACAGAATTTTTTTAAATGTATTCAGTTTGATAATTTCTTCTTTTTTTTCAAAGAAACTTCAACAGGGCACTGGAATACTATTTACAAATTTATCAAAGTCGACGCAGGACGAATCCAGAAGGTTTTTAAATTGCGTTAATTACACTAGCACTGCGAAAAGTTGTTTCTAAATAAAAAAAAACAAGAGAAATTAGTAGCTTTAGTTTTTTCAGGGGAAAATAAACAACTTTCCCACCACCCCCTCCTCCGGCAACCCTCTCAATAATTATCCATTTCTCAGGAGGTCTTTCCCTTTTTTTTTCTCTATGGCGATTGGCAATTTAAAATATTTTTTGCGTCTCTCCATTTCTTTTGAGATCATTGTTTGTTTCTACATTCATTCTTCGTTTTATTTCGTTGTTTTTTTGTTCTTTGGATACGTATTTTTTAGTTTATCATACAACTTGACCTTGGGTTCGAAATTTTCGAGCGTAGTTGTTCATTTCAATACTATTTGTGCAAATCTGATTTAGTCAAATAAAAATATATTTATGAAAACGAAATATTCGCTTTGCATATTTCCGGATGCAACTCCAATTTTCAAATATATGTACAACACGCCCGTAAATTCGAGTTTAATACTTACATTCCGTAGAAATCTGACTGTAATTGAGGAAGACGTACAATATTTGAAAGCTTTCATGAACAAGTCGTATCAGGCGAACGAGTTTTACGTAAAGGATATCTGCACCGTTGTCCTGACATTGTTCGACGAACTATCGTTGAAATCGCATTTGCAATCGCTACCGAAAATACTCCAGGAATTGTGGCAGGTCATGGGCCAGTCGGGACAGAATATCCGCAAAAGCATCAACTTCGTAATTGACAAGGTCGATATCACGTATCATGTCTCATATACAAACTTACTCGTCGAACCCTATATTTTGTTTCCAGATCAAGTTGTATTACGCGCACGCTACGCAATTTGTCCACGACTTAATAAACGGCGATCCCGTCAAACATATATCGAAAATTCTGGAAAAACTCGTCGATAGGTACGACGCCTTCATTAAAAATGTACACGTGTCTGCGTTGCAATACATGGAAAGGCTCTGGTCCGAAACGTACGGTTTGATTGTTAAAAACTGGCATGAAATACTTGCCGCTCTGGAACCCACTTTCATCAAGTTCGCTCATTATATCGAAACGATTGTTTGGTCTACTGGAAAGGAGTTTCTAGGTAAGCTATACAGTACAGTGCCGTAAAATATCACCATTCTTATCGTTCCTCCATGAAGCTTGTTTTTTCTGTGAAATATTAATTTTTTTTTCTTCTTGCCTTTTTGTTTCTCGGAAAATATTTGATAAATAAATTTTTCTTTCTGAATTATACTAATAATTTGTATTTCCTTATAAACAACAATAAAACAAATAAGTAATTTTTCAAACGAACTTCCACAGGCTACGGTAATAACATAGTCGGTACGATTTGTGATGGCATAGTCGGAAATAAAATGCCAGACAGAATAAGATAGATTGTTCATCTTGCTTCCACTTATACTTCAACAGATTTGTTCCGTCGTAAATGTCAATCTGATAAATGCTAACGATCACGATTATATGACTTAGGAGTAAGAGAGACAGAATAAGTTGTACTTGGCATTTATTAATTTAACTCGTACGCCCATACTCAGAGACATATGGATGGGTAAGGGTGTTCCTTAATGATATGCGAATATTTAAATTGGTGAATCTACATGAAAAAATTATGATAATTTGTTAAATAAACTATTGTCCGAAAACTCTGTTCCAAAAAAAATCGGAAAATTAAAAAAAAATGCCATATGAAATATAATTTGACAAGAGTATATATACAATATTTAATTTGTGTTTAAGATGAAGCATCTTCATTATCAGAACCAGAATTGGAACTGCTACTACCAGAAATGAAGTGTATTCTCTTTTTTCCAGTATTCTTTTATTACATTTCCTGTAGCTGTTGTACAACTAATCCAATTTTATTTGGTAGCTGTCTGGAGAGCTGCCTTTCGACCAGATACTACTATAGTATCATCGTGCCTTGCCTCACTTAAAATTATTACACTAATATACAATATAAAATGGTAAGGAGGCAATCTTAAAACTTTACCCATTTCAGTAATTCTTTCGTCTGTAGCGTACGCTAAGTTTGTTTTGAAATTTTTGACAATCTCAATTTTAGACCATCTTCTGGGTACTTAATCTGCTTACTGCGCAGTTAATTGATTTCTGGAATATCGTGCATTATGCTTATACCTAGGCAAAACTTAAAGGTGCACTTGTCGACCAGCTTCTGTGAATAATTTGTTATTATTTGTGTTTACATGGGAGCAGAAATGTAACTGGCAGTAAGTTTTAAAAAATTAGTTTGCTTAATTTTTTTATACTCCATTTCTAAACGATGTAGAGTAATAACGCCTCGTGATATATGAGAAAAGACTGGGAATTAGCAATTAAATTTGACTATTCGGTTTTAGGTTAATTTAGGTAGTATTATGTCTGGTTTCCTGGACTTTTCTAGGAGATTCCATTTAACCTGCTCCTCATTTTTTCCTGCAATAATTGTAATGGAGTGGGGTTTACAATTTCCATATTTCAAGCAGTCAAAAAACTTTTTTTGTTCGCTGTCACCTCAAATGATTTTTTTTTGAGTTTTATTACTTCGCTTCATTTAGAAACAGACTTTAAATTCGTTTAGCATTTCGTGTAAACTCCTCTAAAGAAATATTTTAAATTTGCTTACTAGTGTAAAAGTTTAGGTTCTTCTTTTTGATATCCGGATCTGTGTTGAAATATTCAAAATATCTTAAGCTCAATTTGTTTCTATTATTTAAAAATTAAATATAAACGTCTTTTAATACAATAAAGACGTTTTGATTAAAAAAATAATATTTGTCCTGATTCGGATTGAGAATCCATTCGATTCGATGGTATATATAATGTAGAATTCCATTTATCTAGTGAATTATAAGGGAAAAATTGCATTATCAGAACATTTCCACAACTTTATGAGTTACGTCTCTATTTCTTTGTTGTCTATTCCTCAGTTCTTTTTTTTTTGGTATGATCGACGCTTTCTGGGGAAAAAGTTATCTAAATAAATATCACAAAGTATTTGCTTGAGTTATAAAACTGAACTAAATTTCTCCTTGCAAGTGTATATATTTGTTTATTTTTTGGTTTATTCTTCTCAATTTTATCTGGTACCTTTTTGGAGTAAATCTTTAAAAATCAGGAGATGTGGGTTTTCTGTTTGTAATTTCTCTCCTGACCTAATTTGGGAACCGTTTCCGAAACTAACCAGAACTAAAACATATATATGGCTTTCATTTTCAGGAGCTATTTACGAGTTATGCGAGGATTTCATTAAAATAAGTTAAAAACATTTTACGCTTATCCAAAAATCGAAAATAATTTCGTATTACTTATACAGTAACTCCGTTTATAACGTACATGGGATATATTTTGCTGGTCCGGCCAAAATACTCTTGATATAAAGTTCAATATTTTCACTATTGTTCTGGTTATAAAGTACGAGTGTACGCTAAAACCGGATTATCGAGCGGTGGTTCCCCGAAAAAATCTGGGACTTTTCAGTAATCACTTGCAAGGTTTTCTCTGAAACGTGCGGGTCCTGCCGACAGTTTCCACTTTATTGTATTATGGAAAGGTGCGCTATTTTATGGTTAAAATGGTGGCTCGGCGCGAGTCTTTAATGGTAAAAGAAAAGATAGAGGTTAGAAAAGTAAGCAGGTGACCGTGAATCGCACAGGATTTAAAAAAATAGAAATCCTGTACGTTTAGATGTAGATAAAGCTCTTTTACGATGATTTCAAGCTCGAAGATCCTAAAATATTGCAATAAGTATTCCAGTTCTGAAGTCGAATGCCGAAGAATTAGCTAGGGGATTACAGGATGAGGATTTTAGTTGTTCCACAGGTTGGCTCTAACGTTTTACAGTACGTCACAACATAAACGTCGGAAAAATTTCTGGTGAAGCAGGAGATGTTAACAAACAAGCTGTGCTGAACTAGCTAGAAGATAAGTGACCTAGTATTGCATAAAATTACAACTCTAAGGATATTTTGCATGGTGACGAGACTGGGCTATTTTACAAGATCACTCCAGATCGTACCCTTAAATTTTTACAATCGACTGATAATGTAACTGATGATATTGTGGAAGCGCCCTGGAAGGTTGAGAAGCAAATCGAGAATATGAAATTTGTATTGAGAAAAAATAAACAAACAAATATAATGCATTTTTTTACTCAAAAAGAACAAAGTAATACTGTAATACTTTTTATACTGCTGGATTCCTCCTGCGTCGGTTTTTGTTGAGTCAAACTGGTTAACGTTTCGCCAATCATCCTGTTGGCTTCTTCAGAGCTTGAGTGAAACTGGTGGTAGTTTGTTTAGAATATACTCGACATTTAAAACGATTTTCCCTTTTGGGATAATACGTGGGGCAAGGACAAAGTTGGAACTTTTTGAAAGAATTGATCACAGTGTCTGGAGGTAGAGAAGAGCTTGATGGTTTCCCTAGTGTTGACGTTAGTTTTTTAAATTTCTGAATGTGATTCGGGGTAGAAGTTAAACGAAGATTTGAAGCTTTGTCATGATCCATGTTTGAAAGGGTATCGAACTCGGATGGAGACAAAAAAATGGAAGCAATTTTAAGATATAGAGACAGAAGAGTCTTATTGATTTGGTCTATTTCCTTACGGGTATGATGAATTCTTTCTCAAAGTAAAGCGAAACTAGATTTTCGAAAAATTTTATAAGCGGACGAGGTTTTGGCATGATGGGGTATTTTAAGAAAATTGGGGATGACGTTATGGTCTCTACAACGTAACAAAAATGTCAGTGTACCTAGTAATCTTACCAGTTTCAATCGGTGATCTTCTAACTTTCTGCTTTTACGCTTGATGGCCTCTCCATAAAGGTTTGTTAATTTTTCAAAGAAACTTCCACTGGCTACTGTAATACTTTTTATAAAACTTCTGCTGGCTTCTTCAGAGCTTGACTGAAACTGTTTTAGGAGGAATCTAGAAGTTTTATAAAAAGTATGGTTTTTGATATGTATGTTGTAAAGTTTACATTAGTTTTTAGTTTAAGTAGATTTGTTTATTTCGTTTTCTAAAATAAAAATATGTAGTTACCTAGATAATTTTTTTTGTATTGTTTTATACTTCTGCTTATAGAGTACTCATTTTCTGGTGCCTAGAAGGTACTTTATAACTGGAGTTCGCGTTCAAAATAAAACATAACCACTAAAAGTCTCGAGAATTTATGATATTTCATTTTTGTTTTCAACGATGGATTTAACGACAGCATTTACGCAATTTTTCGCCAGAGGAAAGGAGAATGGTATTTTTTTAAAAGTTGTTTGTATTGTTCGTGCAGTTATCGTACATTTTCATTCGAAATTTAGGCTACCCCGTTATATAATATCGTCTATCGCCAACCGTTCACTTTCGTTTTAAGATTTCCTTTACATTCGAAAGAACAAAATTATCGAGTCGGCATACTTTATGGAATTCACGAAGTTCTCGAAAGATGTCGATAGATTCTACAAAGATATCACAGGAAATAACACCGTGGAAGCCATTTATAAATACAGCAGTATCGCCTGGAATTTTTTGAACGAGAAGTACATCAATCATATTCCATTTGGAAAAGAACTGGAAGCCGTCGTAATGGAGATCTGGGCCGAGTTAAAGCAACTGGGTGACATCCCATCTATTAAATATTTAACGGAGAAATACCATAATACCGCAGACATTGTTAAATATTACTATAAATATTTCCAAGTCGAGTATCGAGTTCACAAGCTCATTCGGTTTATTTATAGAAAATTGTCGGAAATGACTATAAAGGCACTCGAATTTGAAAACAGGTAATATTGCACTTGCACTCGTTTAGACCGATTGTTTACATTTTGGCTTCTGTCTAGGCAAAGGGAAGCCAAAACCAAGTTTGTATACGACCCCAACGAAGGAGTTATGTTGATGGAACAAAAACTTCCGATGTCATGGCACGCGTTCAATGAAACGCCAAAATTTCAGGTAGGTGTGGCGTTTTTTTTCTTTACTTTTCCGAATTTTTCTCTATTTCTAATATCCTCTAAAAATCGAATACCATGAATTTTTGAGTCTCCCTCTACCAATGAAGACGAAACCTATTATATTATTAATTTAAACAAGAGGTGAATTTCAAAAATATCCTATAAGTTAATCGTTTTTTTTTTTAATTATCGCTTAAAAACAAAAATTCAACAATTAGTAAGATTGGCGGTAGCGTGGAGGGCAACAATTTCTATATTGATGAAATTTCGTAAAATTTTTGTAAAATTTAGAATTTTTATAATTTGGTTTTTTGCATATGCAATTTCGATTGTCTTTGATGGTTTAAATATTTTTTCATTGATTAGAAATTAATCTTTTTAGTTTTGTAAAGCCACAGAAAATATTACTTATTTTGATATTAAATCTTTTTTGCGCATACAATTTCTATTGCCTTTGGTACAACCTTTGATTGTATAAAGGTTTTCCTTTTATTGGATACTAACCCTTCCCTTTTTTTTTGTTAGGCCAATCTCTAACAAAATGAAATACATTATGGATTTTGATATTAAATTTTGTAGTAATAAGATAAAAAGATAAAAAGTAGAAGTTTAAAAAAAAAACGTAACAATGAATATTGCAACAAGCTGCGCTATAATTTTTCAGTTTTTTTTTTAATTTTTGTGTTAATTAAAATTTGTTTTCTGTTCCTTTGTTTCTTTCAACGAAACACTAAAATTGCAGGTAATTGTACCTATTTTTCTTCCTTTAGCTTTCCGAATTTTTCTCTATTTAAAATATCCTCTAAAAATCAAATACTATGAATTGAATGAAGGATTCCGATGAAGACGAAACCTATTATATTATTAATTTAAACCAGAGGTGAATCTCAAAAATACCTTATAAGTTAATCCTTTTTTTTTTAAATTAACGCTTAAAGACAAAAATTCAACAATTAATAATATTGGCTGTCGCTTGGAGGGCAACAAATTGTAATGTTGAAATTTTGTAAAATTTTTGTTAAATTTGGGTGCTATAATTTTACAGCTTTGTTTTTTTTTTTAATTTTTGTGTTAATTAAATTTTTGTTTGCTTTTCTTTTGTTTCACTATTTCAGAAAAAAAATAGTCTCTGGGTTATCAACATACAGGTTATCTATATTTTATTTAACAATTATAGTCATATTTTTTACGCATAATAGGCCATTTTAAATCCACTTGGAAGTGTGAAAAACTAATTAATAAATAAATTATTCAGTTGTAATTAAGATGGTGCAATATTCTGAATCTTTTGGATTAGCTGTTGTATGGAATGCATTTAACGACCTAAAGAAAAAAGAAACATTTCCATTGTCATTGCAATCATTTTTGTATATATATCGTACCGATTATAGTATACTGTTTCAGGGGATATGACATATCTTTTAATTTTTTTTTTTTTCATTTTTTCATTTATCATTAAAACACGTACTTTATTTTCATAATCGAAAGGATAGACGGAAGGAACGGTTAGTTTGTCTCTAAAAAAATCTTAATAATATACGAAATAATTCATTTGACATATGTGTCTTATACCCTGCATTCTCCAACATTTTTAATTTTCTCTGTCCCCTACAAGAACAAAAGGACTGCTTCTCTAAAGAAAAACTTCGTGAAAGTTATCCTAGTGTGTCAACAAATGTTCGGACATAGTTCAAAGTAATGACGTAACCTTTTAAACCAGTTTCGAAAAAGTTTTAAAATAGTTTGATCCGCCAGAAAGGAAAATACGTTTTCATTTTTATTTCTCCCCAACGATTTTCTGAAAGAATATAAACGTACAGGTTGGCTATGCGCGACATATATTCCGTTGTCTAGTTCATACGTCTGTAGGTTTTGGAGAATAAAGTTGATTTATCCTGAAAATTTCATTTGGAAAAACTTATACGTAGAAAATTAGTTTTTTCGCTCCTAAAATCTCCGTTTTATTGAGATCATTATGGAATTGGATTATTTGTATTCTTCAATATTTTTTTATGGTGTTTCTCGTGTCCTCATTGTTTTTTTTTCTTTCACTATCGCTGAGCCTTTAAATTTTAAATGAGCTCTCGCGCATCAGGTGCGGCGGGCGTTTATTACATGTTTCGACGAATTTTAAAATATCGCTTCACACTTCATAAATTTGTTAAACTTTAAAATATTACAGGGAGACAGTAGTTGCCGAATCTAGATCTAACGGCGGTTAAATCGGTAAACCGCCCGAAATGCGGCTCAAATAATTTATTTATCGTAAAGGTTTTCGTTCTAATGCTTGACGAGTTCATTTCATCACCGCACATCAGTGTCGGAGAAGGATCCCGTGTAATACAAGAGATATCGGGTTATTTTGGTGAACGACTTTATCGATTCTAACGTTTTTATCCGCAGGTCGACTTTCTTCTCCCATGCAGATTTATTTAACTTTGAGAGAAATAAGAATGATATTGCTTTTAACTTAAAAGCGGAAATAAAAGCGCTCAAAGCGTCTAAAAGATTTTCCGAATAGTATTTCATTTAAGTAAAAAGGCGCATATAAATCAGTGGTTCTCTAAGTAAGGTAAATAATGAATGAAAGAGAGTCGATGTATTAGAACCGCATGTTCGACAGCACTTGAATTGCGTATTTTTCAAGAACTCCTTTCAGGAAGTCCCATTCAGGAAAAATGTATATCCTGTGTATGTTAAGATAGAGATTGCCTCGAACTCTTACTTCTGTCGCCTTTGAAGACCTGCTTCAAATGATGTAAAATAATTGATAAATATGTTTATCTTACTGGCAAAGTTTGAAATTTAGAACTGTGTGTATATAATTATAGTATCTGCATAGATATAAGAAAGTGACTAACTGATACGAATTAAGGAAAGACCGGGCAAGCTGTAAGAATGAAATATGGCTGAACAGGTCCTTACTTTGATTAGAATTAAATTATTTGGGGTTTTGTTAGGAAAGATGGTAAGCAATATTTATTTATTTATGTACCTGCTTAAATTACTTAAAATTATTCACATAATATATCAGTATCACTATCGTTATCATCGCCTATTGTTATTTGTTCTATTTTATTTGCAATATGGAAATACGACTGTTCTGCTTTTTCTATATGTTTAACAGAATTTGCCAAACTTTGTGGAGGGATGTTAAAAACTTCGGTTTCTATAAGTTTGAGGACATTGGAGTTAACACGGGGAAAACATTGGTACGACGAATGGCAGATTTCAATTGGTGCCAAATACAGTGGTAAGGTGGAAGCCTTAAATTTGTATGCCCTAGATTTTTTTCATAATTATCACGGACGTATTCCTTTTGTAGGTTAGTTAATTGCTTTTTGGTATAATCTTCGTGAAAATAAATGTCGTTATTATACAGGCAGTTGTGGATTGTTGCTTTTGTGTCACATGAGGAAGGGGTTTTAGTCAACTGTCGACTGTGATAACTTGCATTGTCCGTTACAAGTACGCTTTTAGGAGGAATGTTTGGAACTAGTTTGTTTTTAAACCAACTTTCAAATAAATCAGCGGTGGTTTCTTCATGCTAATCCAGAGAAGAATCTTTAATATTTTTCGCAGACAGAGAAAGTCCATTTGGAATCCAACCATCTTTAGAGCGAGCATGCAAAATAGTTATTCTCTTACCTCTTTTTGATGGCGCGTTTGTTTTACACTTATCAGTTGAGTCAACCTAACCCTTTTCCGGGGTATCTTAACTGTCGAACCAGGTTTAATCCAAGTAAATAATTGGTTTTTGTTGTTCTCTGTAAATCCTAATTTTTTAAAACTCGCCTTTTGTCAATTTTTTTACATCTAAAACCCATGTGTTCCATAAGTTAGTTCTGCCACATTTAACACCGGTTTCATCTTTTTCAAGCCTCCTAATTAAGAATCTAATGTAGGCACGCTTTGTTCCTTGTATAACTGGTAAATTTTACGCCGTGTTATATCTTGATCACTTTCATCTACACTTTTATCCACACTCGAGAAAATGTCAGCATCACAAGTCACATTCACAATTTTCCATACAGTTGATGTTGAAATTTTCGTCAATGTGGCCGTTTCTTCTAAAGATGTTTGCTTGCTGGCACCACGTTCAATGAGAGTCAAATAAACATTGTTTATAACTTCCTTAGTGTCAATAGAATAGTGTTTTCTACATTTGGGCGGGAGCATATCTTAAAATACACTAGATTCGCACATATTTTACATAATTCGCACACGATTCAACACACGCTGTATTACACACGAAATAAGAATGATTACTAATAAACTTAAACTAAGTAGTATAACAAACCAAAGAATATTAAACACAGGTAGGTATAAAATTATTTTCTATTACGGACCACAATTTTACCTGAATTTAAATTCCGAAATTATAGGTAATAATCTTGCATTGTATGTTAATGACCACCCTTGGATAATCCCATTCAAAAGCAATTGGTCACTTTCTCATATCTATGAACAGACCATACTAAGTTTTATGCATATAAAAGTAAGACTTTTTTTCCCATAAACATATGTCCACACTTGATTTAATTTCAAGATACAAAGTTTTTTCTTTAATTCGGTTTCTTATTAATTTTTTTGATTTTTATTAAAGGACTTTTAACGCAATTAAAATAAAAGTGTTAATCCCATTGGCGCCCCAGAGCGTAATTTGATTGATATTCTTAGGAAAATTCGTTGTATGGCACTATTTGCTTGTATTTTTATTACCTACTTAAAATTATTCACATAGTATATCAGTATCAATATCGTTATCATGGCCTATTCTAATTATTATTTGTTCTATATTATTTGCAATATGGATATACGATTGTTCTGCTTTTTTGTTTGTTTGTGGGGGGATGTTAAAAACTTCGGTTTCTATAAGTTTGATTACAATATTTTATTGCATTAAGCTATTTAAAATACAATTTATTTGGCCTTTTCCCGTTACTGTCGAAAAATCGATAAAATTGAATTTTTCGAAATGATACGCGGCAGTAATTTTTT